TTCAGGACATTCACAGGTCAATAAGTAGTCTTGAAACTTACAGAGTAAAAAACTTACTTTTAAACTAATAATGCGAATTTAAATTTACAATAATAAATTATAAAGTTATCTATCGGCATCACAAAACGGATCGAAATACTACATTAAACGTAACTCGTCTTATTAATGTCGGACAAAATTCATCAAATGAAATTTCGTCTTTCAAAGATATTTCAAATATCATTGTAATAAATAATAGTATGAACATATTGAATCAACTTCACATGTATAGCGTATTTAAATTTATATAACTACATGTATTATTATACTTCGACATGTGAGCATAAATTATAATATTCGTAGCGTAGCAACTAAAGTTATTCCGTTGAAGATAAGCGAAATGATATTTAAATTTATATAACTACATGTATTATTATACTTCGACATGTGAGCATAAATTATAATATTCGTAGCGTAGCAACTAAAGTTATTCCGTTGAAGATAAGCGAAATGATAGGCGTTACAAGTTGATTAATAAATGATTGGTAATGATTGACTTACCTTTAGAAATTGATATAACTGATCCCTATTATAACCCTGTCACAACGCTCAATCGTATTTCGCGTCAAAGCTGGTTGGCGCTCAAGTGTAGTATGTATATATTTAGCCAAGTATGGGTATAACACGGCAAATGTATAGCCTATATATTAAACTCCGCCTACTCAAAAACCGCCAAAACAGGTTGTTCTTCATAGACCGCTAACCCAGCAAGCCTCTCGTGCTTAATGGACCCTACTAACGGGGTAGATGGAAGAACACAATGCTATTGTATTTTTGAAAGCCGATTTGCAAGTTTTACCTTTACATTAGTTGCTCCACTAAATGTATCTTTCAGTGTTTGGGGTTATTCGCCCAATTATAACATGTGTAACAGTCCATGAACACTTTAATTTAAACATGTTTATTGATGCTTCCTTAACCAAATTCATGATTTTTAGATGGTGGTGCAGCCATTATGCCCTTTGTATAACCTAAATAGTTTGTATTTATTTAAATAGACTCTTCTGGGCAAACCTTGAATTGAAATTTACTAAAATAAATTAAAAAAAAAGTTTATACATGTTGGGTATAGAAATTTCTCTCTTTCTCTCTCCGCATCTATGCACTTTTACAATGGCACATTTTTGGCTATGTCTTCACCACGATATGAACGCCAGTCAAAATTGACACAGTTTGCAACGTTATCATAATATTACTCTTTTGGGGGGGGGGGGGCTAGGGGATGGATTTGAAGTAAGGACTTTGTAGTACTAATAAAAGGTTGTATTTGAAAACAGGAATACATAAAGCGTTTGAGTTAAACTGCTAGACGGGGCTCAATCAGCCAATCAAAAGTTTATAGGAAAGTGAGTCGTGGATACTATGAATTAGTAATTCATACAATAAATAACTTGGGTGAATGTGGTTCGAATTGATACAGATAACGACAGGGTGGCGGTACACTAGCGGATGTGAAATCTACAACGAATTAACACGTTATATACGGGACTTATTCCTGAACGCGTTTATACATGCAGCCTACATGTATATAATTTAACTCTTAAATTACTCCATTCCGGAAGATTTCCTTATTAGTAATGATTCATACATAAGTCAAATAGTAAGTGCAGGAGAAACACAACACACGCAAAATAAAACCGAAAAGCCCCCCCCCCCCCCCATTTAAAAAAAAGATTAATGATGTACAAGAAAGACTTGATGCAATAATGCCACCGGTCTTGATGGTTGTCGTCTCTTGAATGACGACAGTCTGCCGGTTGACGTCATAAGTTACTACGTCTACAAATTTAGCATCACAAGGGGCGATAATCCCGATAGAATCTCGAAAAACGCTCAGAAAATCCTAGTGTAGATAGGACCATGGCCGACAACCCGTCATCACTACATTTTAACCCGACAATTTGACATTTTAACCCGACAATACGACTTGTTCTCGCGACATTACGACATTTAGACATGTAGACATATAATTATTTTGGAAGTGAGGACATCAACATCACTGTTGGAATATGACTATTTAATCTTGTAAATACTTGAAACATTCATAGCTTCGCTCGGGAAAAAGTAATTTGACTGCAAGTTTTAATATACATGTATACTCATTTTTCATTATCCATATTTGAACTATTATAGCAAGAACGCCCATCTCAATCTATAAATCTTGCATAATGCATCTTTAACAGAGGATACACACCCAAACGTGCTTTATATCATCGAATCTATATCATTATTCATTTAGCTTCAAGAAAGCTACAGACTTGAAAGTTGAACAAAACCGAATGCAAAATCAATGAATTTTTATTGTGTTTGAAACCGACTTTGTAACCATAGAATCATTCAATGGCTGTTTGTATGGTAAACTAATAAAACATATTGCATTGGTCACAATTAGTGTATTGCATGCAAAGATATACCCAGTATAAAACCCTGAATTGGGAAGTAACTCAAGTCTCGTGTTTTTCCATAACGTTCATTATATATTTTTATTCGTGTAAAACAATACTCCGTACCTTAAGTTAATATTTTAAATTCCATTTGCATTTCAACAATACCAAGTAAAATAAAAACGTTTTAAATAAAGAAAAAGTTAATTAAAAATTTCAGCTATGCTTATTTGACTCTAATACGTGCATGATACCACACGTTTCCCCGCCGTCAACATTACTTTTAACTCACCTCATAGTCCGTATCTCTATAATAATGTCGATTCATAATGTCAAAAACTAAAGAATCACAACAAAATACTAGAGACCTATTGCATACGGTTAGCTATATGCCCACAATATCTACCTTTATTTAATACACGGGAGAATATATAAAGGCTGGAATATATTATATTTATATATAATTTACGTTATCGATCAATATATAGCACATAGCTTCTAGCCTAATGATTGATACATATTGCATGTGTAGACTAATCATATTAAATGTAACTATAGAGTCAGTATATACATACTATAGATGTAAACTATCATATAAGTTTCGCTCTATTTAAATTGTCAGTTGACAGTGTCATGTCTCTATTGAATCATCACATTTAGTGTTCAATTACACGAGAGAATCTGCATCGATGTGTCGAAGCAGCCATAAGACTATGTTGCTCACAGATAGGTAGCCAAGAGATATTAAGCAAAGTCAAACACATGCAGGGCAAGACTTTTCTTGCTAATCCCGTAATATAATGTAGTCTACTCGCCGCTTGAATTTTATAAAACAACTAAATTAAAACAAAGTGTTAAAAAAAACCACCGATAGTAAAAAAGGGAAGTCTTATTGTAATAGGTTGGGTAAGTTCAAAAGAAGGAAAAACATTAACGTATTGGTTATTCGATTCAATAATCAATTATTATATACATGTACGAGACGTTCAGTAAATATTTCTCGAAGTAGAGCTCAACCCCAGATACAAACCACACGAATAACCAATTAAGAATAGATTCAGATGTATCGGAATTATCCTTACCATATTCAATTCCTCTTGATTAATGAATAATTCCTATCTTCCATAACCAAATTACAAAAAAAGCCGCGCAGGCCTGGTCTGCACTGATCGATCACTTTTATGAGTTTAGTGAAACATCCATACCTTGTTGATAATCAATAATTAATTGTTGTGTAGGCAACGTGGGCTTGGAACCGTAACACAGGAACTCGATTATTGCTTAGAACAGCAATTACCTTTATAGAAGAATATTGTCAACTAAACATGAAAAGCTTTAGGCATCAAAGGACTTGGCCAGAACACAATAAACCATTTTCTTAAATGTGAATAAACAATGAAATCGGGGTATCTGTTTTTTGTTCAGTCTACTGCTTATTGCTTTTAAGACCAAATTGCGCCAATGTATTTCAAAATACTATAATAGGATTGTCCACAGTTGCAAATAATTTACAAAAAGGAGAACTGTGTTCTTTGATAAAGCTGGGTAATTTTTACCAAAGAAAAGCCTATTATTTTGGTCGTTACCATGAAGAAATGTATTTCCTTTTCAATTAAGGCTGGGAACCATCCCAACCTTGTCACAAAGTCTGTTATCTATTATGGCTATGGTATTGGTGGGAATTGCAGGTAACACCACGGATGTGAAAACTGAGACCAATGCATAGTAATGTGGGACGAAGAGATCAAATAAATGAAGAATATATCGAGACAATCTTCTTCTCATTTCTGGAGTTCACATAGCTAACAAATTTGTAGTGTGCTTTCGTATCTAGAGATTGTGCTTGGGCTTTCTCATTGATCCCATAAACGATGATAGAACTTGAATATATCTTCTAACTTTCGGACTTCCCATAGCTAACAAATATAGTGTAGTTTTTGCCTAGGGGTCATGGTTCGGTTTGCCTGGGCTCTTAGATCAAGATGGGTTATTGGCTATCATATAAAAGAAAATCATTGTATTCGGACACTGTCATTACACTCGGCAAACCAAAAATGGATAAAACAGATTGTTAGAACTATCTTCAGATATTTTAGCCTTCGAGACAGCCCTTATGCCCAATGGAATAGACTGTATAACCAGTGTCGATTTCAGTTGTGTAACTAAAGGAAAAGTATGATCTGATCTCATGGACTGAAACGTTCTGTTTTTGTGCAAGTCTCTGTGCGTGGCATGAAAAGAAATATCCCCAGAGTTGTCACCCCCTGCAAAATGGCGACTTCAGTACCGTAACAAATACAGCACATTTTACATACAGATGCTAACACAAGTCACTATGCACACACAAAATCCGTAATATACAAACATTCAACTAGATAACTTTCCACTTCTTTGCATAATGCACATCCCACTCCCATAATCCATTATCTAGGTCACAATCTGCTTAAACAAACTACTATATTCAACCGTGTTTATTTATTTATTTTGTAAAATCTTATACTATAAAATTTTGATTTTAAATGTTGATTTTAATGAAAACTGGATATATTACATTCAAAATTAAATATAAATGCATACCTTCATTTCCAGCTCTCCCCAATCTATTAAATAGTTGGCTATATCCCGAAAATAAAACCATATTAAAGCCGCTGTCAACATAATGATGATGTAGATATATATAAAGCCTTATTGTATCAATATAACCGGCTGTATTAGGTATAGCTCATACTATGGGCTCAGGTATTGTGACCTATAATATACGGAAGACCTTGTCCAACAAACTCTCACTTGTAATCTCCGAAACCGTCCTTTTGTCTTTCGTATATTATATCTTATTAAAGCTAGCCAGGATATAGATAAACGTGCAGGTATTTTTGTGGTGTATAATTTAGATCGCCTACGCTTATTGGCAAGTCAGAGTAAACAGTAAACATAAATATATATCAGATTATCGATCCTGATATATCGCGCCCAATATAATATTCACACTACAGTGACCATAAATATTAGTACCGGTATCTGTTAAACCGCTTTGTCAGCTTATCCTATTATCTTCTTTATGCTACACAACACTTACTATACGACGTGCACTATATAAGCACGGCTCATAAATATCATGCTAACGTTATTTTTATGAACGGGTTATACTGCCATATTCAAATGAGTATAATTTGTCACGGTTCATGACGAATGTCTACTTTAGTATTAGGCGGTGATGACTGATTCACGGTTGACTGAATAGACAATCTAAAACGCTAGAGATAAACATGAGAGTTTATTAATGTATTAGTTACCAATAAGAACGGTTTCTGTAACTTCTCTTACTGGGTTGAGCACTTAAAAAATGAAGCGATGCCGAATAATTTTAAATTCATTAAACATGCAGTAGGTTTAGGTTGCCCAGATGCCCTTAATGCATCACAGGAGTTCGAGTAGGCAGTTCAAAATACTGGGAGGTTGGTCGAGAAAACTAATGAGTCCAGAAGTTCTTTCTAAGCCATACTACAAAGAAAATGAGAATCGACTTGTACATGTGTTCAGAGGGATCGACGCTATTTTCTAAAGAATTAAATTGTTGAAAAGGCGCCACTTGAAAATTTTGAGTTAAGGAAGAGCAGGCGTTGCCTTGCTATCACTCTAGCTACGCCGCTGGGTGCAACTGTTTAGTCGTCAGTTCTTGGGTTGTCTCCACGTATCCCCCCCCCCCCCCGATGTGACCTGGATGAATTATTTCGACCTATTTAAACAAGTGCTATAGTAATAATATGTAGTTATTAATATCGAAAATCCCCCCATCGTTATGCAAGGAACGAGCGTGCCAAGTTTCATGTCCAATAGTCGACCGTACTTGAATTGTCTCAAACTTTCTTCGAAGTGAGTCGCAAATAAGAACAACACGATGGGTATAACGCTACGGGCGACCTCAAGACCAAAAGGAAAACGCTAAATGATTGTTCTTGTGGGACATCACATCCGAATTAAGTCAATATGTACTTGGTACTCGGTGGTAGACCCCAATTTAAAAATTGTCCGCCATAAATAGGATGGTTCGTTAAAGGGTATTGTAAAGTAGACCTAATAAGGCGCATGATAAATGTTCAAAGATTACTTGAGTTAGAACCTAAGAACTAAATAGAAATGATGACAGTGACTATCGTTGAAATTTTAACCCTTAGCGCAAGAACATGATGCCAGATGCTGATGACATATAGGTTCCGGATAATGTTTTTACATCTAGTGAAGGGATTGTGCAGTTATCTGGGTAATGTTTTTACATTCAGTGGAGTAAGTAATCTAGAATATGTTTTACATCTAGCGAAGGGTTGGTGCAGTAATCTGGATAATCTATTGTGAAGGGCGGTGCAGTAATCATGAACTATCTATATAAATTATACTTACGATCTCATTTTTATCTGAAGTCGCAACGGCTCAGTGAGAAAGGCGCTGGTATAAAACGAAGAGGAACCTCCGCGTTGGGGATCTGGGTTGTTTTATGAAAGACGGGGTATGTTATAGTACATGATGGCTGTTGTGAGGGGGCGAAAGTTCATTTACGACAAGGGTTATACAGTAAATTAAGGGCTGTGTTGTGATGAAGGACGGTGCTGTTTTATGGAGGAGGTGGTCGATGCTTTATGGATAACAAGCATTATTTGACTGGTTACCTATCCCACTGAGGGGAGCACTTTTCCAAAAGGGAGGGAACACAGCCACCCCACCCCCTATACCCTAGTTGGAGGTCTTATCGGATTCGGTGTTATCAGACATTTCGGGTTACTTTTGTTGTTTTGCGTTTATGAGGACAGGGTTGTCGTTCAAATGGAGCGAAAAACAGTTGGATTTGCCGCGGTCCGGGCAAAACCCTACCTGGGAAAATATGTTTTTTGCGCCCCTGGGTGTACGTTAAACCCATCTGTCCGTCTCTCTGTCTCTCTCTCTCTCTGTGGATGTCGAATAGCTTATTGCTTCAGGGGAAACAACTCTTACTGTTAGCTCTACAGTTTTGACCCACGTTTACATCTAATGAAATTTTCTCATCTTAGTAATATTGTCATAAAATGTCACTTAGTACTACTAAATGTATGGCTCTTTGCACAGTAATGGGACATATTACCCCCATGCAGGAATATTAAATTTTGATTCAAGGGACCATTAATTTTATGAAATTAAGATATCGATCGTTACTATTTTTTGAACGTGACAGAATTTGAAAACATGAGGAATTGATAGATTTACCAATGTTGGGTATTTTTCTCTTTATTCTCCTCAATGACAATTCGCTTCCGTTTTCGCGAAAAACCATTCCCTCTGAGTAGTTAAGAACAGTTTTGGAATGCATTTTATTCGAAGTCAACGTTATGTGTTTGCGGATGGAATGAATTGTACATGACGTTCGACATTTTGTTACAGCAAAAATAACACGGAAGTAAGTCCTAAATACAGAATAGATCGGTGTAAGATATACTTTATGCCTAATTCTACCAAATTTTCCAAATGTTAGTGAAATTATTGTAAAACATCAACGCTTAGACACTACACAAAATGTCGAGCGTTACGTTGTCGTCTCAGATGGAAAACGGGGGAAAAATATTAGAAAACAGAAGGAAAGATATTGTTTATTTTTACAGTCGCTAGAGATTGTGGTGTTGTCCTAATTCAGGATCCAATCATTATTGAACAATTTTATCCAAAAAATTCAAATATACACTACAATTTTGTTGGAAATCCAAAGCCTTATCAAATAGGTACTATTATTCAGGAGTTTGGCTCCATCCAAATTATGAGGGTTTCAAAATATTTTTTGAAAAAAAATAATATGTAATTTTCATGCAGGTATTTTATATTGTCTTTTCTGTGTCCCCAACCATATATCAATTAGGAACAATAATAAAAACATAACATAATATTTTTATTTACAACATGTCCAAGTTGATTGCTATGTTTTGTCCCTTTACTGTGCAAAGGGCCATTCGTTATATTTATGAGAGAGAGAGAGAGAGAGAGAGAGAGGAGAGAGAGATGGGGTTTAGCGTCCACTCGACACAAACTAGGTCATTTCGGGACTAACATATGGTTTTTAATTTTATTTCAATAATTCGCTTGCGCGTAGGGGTCTTTAGCAGTAGGAGGAAACCGGGAGACCCGGAGAAAACCCACGAGGTTGGACAGGCGACCCTACTGCTTGTCACATACAACTGGGGATTCGAAACCACGCCAGTTGACTCAATGACAGGCCTTATGATACAGCGCGCACGTGGTAACCATTCGGCCATCCACCCCCCCCCCCTCCGTTATATTTATGATGATCCGCGGTAACTAACTGGGTCGAAAAACTGGCCTGGTTATCTTTCACCTTCATTAAAATTGTTTTCTTTGTATCCAGTCCAGCGGTCCATTTTAAAATCTGGCGCCGGACCCATCCCAGCAGCCATTGACCAAATGCCCATATGGCCAGTCCGCCCATGGAATACAGTACGAACTGTAAAAGATCATATAGAAATGTTAATATTTACTCGTGAGTGTTGATTTGCTCACCTTCATCAAGAATTTCTATGGAAGGTCTTTCTTTTAATCCATCATCTATTTTTGTCTTTTTATTTTTCGTTCCCGCAATCCTGAACATTTTCCGGAATACGAATTTGGAGTGTAATATCTTTTTATACTACGAAACGAAATCGAAACGAATGAAAAACCACTAAAAAGAAAATGCTTTTATTAATATGTTCCTTATTATGATTAATCTCTTGTCTTGTGCAATTTAAATAAAAGGCGAAAGCATAAATATATTATGTATAGTTAAATCATCTGTTTTAAATCCTAATAAATAGTCTTGGAAGAGAGAAAACCATGTTGGTGGACAGTAAGTCATAAGGTTCACGTGACTTTGCGCACACTTTGTCCGAGGTTGTTTTTTTAGAGGTGTATATGTTGTTTTATGTGTGGCGTGGTCTCCTGCACTTACTGCTATATCTCTGATATTTCCAAAAATAAAAATTACCAGAAATCGGTAAAGCGGTAATCATCAGCTTTTCATGTATAACTCAGCATGTCAATTAAGTCAGTGCTCTCTCTGTCTAGTGTCAGTTACGTCAGTAAGCGCTCTGGCCAGCATACAGTTTGGTGAACAGATGAGATGCCATCCTCTCTGGTTATATTTCATTTTTATATTCTTTGATTTATTGCATACGACCGTTATTACCCTACAACGTAGTATTACTCTCGTCTAATACTTCAGCTTATAGTTTTCAGTCGCCTTTATTAGAGTTTCACACTGCGTAGCCAGTGAAACACTATTGTTTTTGTTAAGATTATTCTTCTTCTTCTTATGTTTTTTTTTGGGGGGAGCCACGGTGGCTAGGTGGTTAAGACGCTGGCTCGCTAGCCTGGAGGTCATAGGCGTACGAGCTGGGGGGGGGGGGGCGGCCGCCCCCCATTTTGGGCACCAAATGCTGGGAAAATTTGGCCACACAATTGTATTTTGTAAAAGTTGTATAAAAAAAGCTATTGTGTTCTTGAATGTGTCCAATTTAACAGCGAATTTATTATTATTATGTAACATACTAAGAACCTAACTACATTTTTTGGGCACCAACCACCACCGCCCCCCAGTCAAAAATTTCCCCGTACGCCTATGCTGGAGGTCTGGTGTTTGATCCCCCTGCATTGGCCGAGAAAGTTCATCCAGATTTTCCGACGTGGTTTCCCCTTGTCAGTGGTGCAGGACGGAGGGCCTGACAAGTACAGCTGTCTAGTCCTTCGGATGATACGAAAAACCGAGGTCCCGTGTATATATTGGAATGCACGTAAAAGATCCCCTGGCAGTTGGAATTCGATATAAGAGTAGGCGATAGTGCCGCTGTCCGGGCAAAATTTCCCTCATAGCACACTGTATGGCTTATGCCCGTCTTCATTAGCCCAGTATAGGAGCAGAACAGTAGGACATTAAACCCCATTTCATTTCATTTCATTTCATTTCATTTCTTATTATTTTTTTTCCACTTCAGCATATCTCAGAAACTATTTGTCGGATCAACTCGATGTCTTCGGTTTTACTGGGAAAGTGGGTGTGACTTAGAGATTAAAGCTATTTTGACCTTTCTGTGACAATGCGAAATGTCCGAAATTATTGAAGTTGTCGTTTTTTGAAATATTGCCGTAATATTAACAATAATTGTCCGATTTTAACATTTGATACATTTTGACATAGCCTGAGACACGGCAAATAGCTACGATTGTTTAGATTTTTGATTTTCGATTAATCTTCGAAGATATTTGGCGGGGAATTTTGAAAATTTAAATTTTGAGAAAAAACTTTTTTATTTATGAATATTTTTTTATGGCGCTTTACCTATAATTAAAGGGTCATGTGATTTGAGCAAAAATATGAAAAAAAATTGTATCAATAATTCACCTTGGCCGCTATTGGCTAATTCAGTTTATGGGTTCTAGGTTAATTATTCATTGCTCGATTTGTATAAAACAAAATTCATATGCTCAATGGTGCAATGTCTCAACTTTTTTTTATTACCGATAAAGCTTTCTGTCATCAGCGGAAATGACGTAATTTTGACCAAAACTACAATTTTGGCGGTTAGGAACGTCTTTTCGAAAGCAAATATTATTTTTTTAAAAATAAGTAAAAAGTATGAAGTTGCGCCATGTAAAGGCGCAAAAAAAGTCGGAAGCAGTTTTTTTAATTTCGATTTCATTTTTGCGCCATTTCGATTTAAAGGTGAAAAACGGTGTAAAATTGAGCTATTTACAACCCATTCAGGCGTTTCATATTTTAAAATATTTCTTTGTGACTTTCATAAACTAGTACCTGAAATGATAAAAATAACTATTTGACAAAAAGTAGGTAACCATGAACGTTTAGTAATTTCAAAACGTAAGTGTCTTTCAAAGGCCCAACATGTTTCAATCAGGCATTATTATTATAATGATTGATTGATTGCATTGTAATATAAAATAGTAATGTCCATATATTACCTAGATTCATTGATATGTGAATTACAAAATCAATACTGTATTATATATCTACTACTTTTAAAGTATAACACAAGATTTGTCTTTCTATATAGTCCAGCTATATTATAGATAAAAAGCCATAAGTTTTGTTCTGTTGATCATTTATATGCATATTATAATTGGAAAATTGATCTATATACGGCTCCTCATTAACATATATGGAAACCATAACCCCTTTTCTCCATCATTATATTGGACAATTACACAAGTGGTTTACTTTTGCCTGGTATATAATAAAATACATAAAACGTAAGCGTGGAATTTTATGACGCATTATTAGATTATTTCTACGCGTGGACGGTTTGAAATAAACACTGGAGACTACAACATTACGTGTAGACGTGTAGTAGACACAGATTTAAATCTATTTATGTAATCTTAATCAATTAGGATTATCTGGATTATCACAAATCGAACGCATTGTCCAAAACGGGCATTTGTCAATAGTATAACATTTATAGGTATAGGTATAGGTATAGGTACCAGTACAACGTACGTGTTGTTTGATTGTGGTATTTTTTAATTAAAAGGTAAGTTATCTTAATCAAATAAGTATCAATAATGCATGGGTACAACAGTTTGCTTCTTGTAGGTTTGTTTCTTGGGTTGATGTTCATATCGCGGAGGTAGTTTTATTCCATCATGCGTTCTTCGTTAGCTAACTTATAGGTACGTATGTTGTGTTGGGCTCGATTCATATTCATTTAGCCAAGTTTTGATTCCATTTAATGTTCGAAATTTCGTGGTGTTGTATGTTTATCTATGAAGTGATGAATGGATATAAATTCGTGTTGTGTGGATAATCTTGGTATAACGAATTTTAAGGTGAATTGTTTGATTGGTTTTTTAATTGCAGTGGAGACAATTTGGTTTGTTTAAAATGGGATATTGCGTTAGGGTGGACGTGTTACTTCGATATGTTTATTTTTCCTGTTCTGTATGAATATTGTAAGCAATAGTTCTAAAACATCAGCAACACTGACTTCGTACGAAATTCTTTGTCGGTTTCGACTACAGTTTATAAATCTGACATTTTTGCAGAAGATTGTGTTATTGCACATATATTTTAAAATCAAAACGATCAATTTGTTGTTTGTCTTTTGTGTTCCCCGTGAGTTATTTAATCATCAAAATAATACCGGAATTTAATTAATCATAATGAGTTGTAAAAAGCAGGGACCGGGTCATAAGATATTACATGTAGTGTACCTCGAGTTAGTGAGACAACGTGTCAAGTTCAATGTTAAAAAAATCAGTAGGGCTGATAGGTGTTATATATTAAGAAGCTTAAACATACATTATGCAAGAGCTAAATCTGCCTATTGCAGGTCTTTCTTTAGGCCTTAAATGTTATATAAACTATCAATTAGACATTTAATAACATGACAAGACCATAATTAACCCCCGATGCTATCTGATGGGTCAGGTTTTCAACAGATTCGAATCCGATCTGCGTATTTGATTAACCTTAAAAGTGACTAATCGAGATTTTGTTTGTTATAGTAACAACGGTTACAATGTTATTAAACGTGAAGTAATATATTGTTTAACTATTATAGCGGGAACTATCGGCTCTTTATCTAATCTTCCATAATGCCGCTTTAAAGGAACAAAAACAAATACATACAGGTCAGGCAATCTTTTAATCTCAGTGTAAGTGGATACAAATCATAAAGAGGCATAAAGATGGCGGCATAAAATTAATAGGAACCAATGTAAAATCAAGTGGCCATGGCTTTATGATAGAATTAATTTATTTTAAAAATACTAGTGTGTAATGGGGAGTTGGCTCGTTGTCCCCACAATCTGCAGCACATTATCTCGTACAATTAGGTCCTGATCCTTCCATGTATTGCGGCATCATATGATAAATCCAGATAGTAAAAAGAAACTAATAAATGAATTTATTGACATGTTATCTGTCGCTTCAATCGGTTTTACAATATTATTTTGAAATAAAACTTAATGTATAAATTCGGTCGACAAGGATGATTAATCACAAACTCTTATCTTGATGTTGCTTGCATCCGGTAGAAATACATTTGGGATTATTATTCTCATTTTAATTTCTCATTAGTACATTGATTATAAGTAGAAGTGACTGTAGCTATATTTTGCAATACTGTTTTACCGTTAAGGCTATACACAATTATTCACCTTTTGCAACAGGTGGCTAGCAATGCAATCTGATTAATTCCATACAAAGGTCGATAACTCTTCCAGAGTACACCGCAATAACATAAACACCATAATATAATACGAAAATTAAATCATTTGTGATAATCGTGTTTATTAGCAATAATTTCTCTGAGATTTGGTTTTATTGGCGGCAATTTAAATGATTGCCACTTATTGCTTACAGTACCCTTTTAAATTTTGTGGCTCATAAATTCTTGCGGATGAATTCCATTTGTAAAAGTATTGGAAAATATTAAAATGCTAAGGAGGATATTCTATAGCAATTGTTAACGCGTTATGGTGGGATGCGACATCTGTTTCAAAGGATGATACTACACGAGACTCACTGTTAATCATACCAATTATAGACTCCGCCTCTATACAAAATAGTATATTCATAAAGACCATTAATATTTAGTCATAATAACGGGATATTTTGAACTACACACATGTATGTATACCATATTGTATATTGAACAATTTTTAAAGACCAGTTATGAACTTAAAAAAACTTCGGTGACTTTCTTAATACTGTTAAATATTTCTAGATTTTAAACAAAAAATATTTATTTGAAAACCCCCAACAAAATGTGCTTAAAGTTTGCTCAAATATTTATTGATGTCTATCAAGAATATCTATGGAAAACTTCACTTGTTTTCCTACGTAAATCTGGTTTATTTTCAGTGGGTCGCAGGGTTTCCTGTCTGAAAGCTAGTGCGCGATGTTTATGTATTCAGATTGGAGAATGTCGATGCAATACAACCTTTAGCTATCAGTTCCGTCATTTTCATACTTTATAGCCATGATGTTTAATATTATGTTCCTGTTTAGATTTGTCCTGCACACATACGTACATAAGGACTATAACACAATCGTTGTGCTACCAACCCCCACACCCCCAACCCCCAACAAGTAGGCACCGGGACTAAGAAGTCCGACAATCAAGTAGTTCTAATCTATCTAACGCGTTTTTAGTCCTGAAAAAATAAGTTTTAAGTTTCAGGACTCTATATTTCTTTTGCATTTAAAGACTATCATTTGGTTATTTGCATGAAGTTAACAGGGCTATTTGTTAATAACGGGTATTGTTTTCAATTATTGTATGTAGGCTACATTGTGCGGATTATTTATAATACGCTCAAATTTCTTTCTTTTTTTCAGAAAAACAGCCATTCAAAAATGGTAGCAACGGAGATACAAACGGGATTTTCTGGACTAGAACCCCAATATTCGTGGGATGAAGCTGTGCCAGTACCAAGGGTGAAAAGGGAAGCTGAGGAAAATTATATAAAGGGAAGGGGTTCAATGAAAGAATGTGCTTTTACAGAAACTAGGCAACCATACACACCACGTTCCAGGGCCCCGCAGGTAAAACCAAGATGTCCCACCAGAGAATCAAAGGAAAACTACGAATTGAATACGAAGGGCAGTTTTTATAGGTTACTGAATGGAGAACCCACGCCACGACCCAAAACAGCACCATGTTCCCGTGTTAAATCGGAAGGGCAAGAAACGGCGAGTCTTAGTAGGGGAGGGCGTATGAAATCAATTGTCAACGAATATGGAAATTATCGGCCAACGCCTAGAGTCGCTAGAGTGAAATACGAAGGAAAGGATAATTCCACGGTACACAAAGGTGGTCGAATGAATACAATCCTTACCAAATATGGACAAGGAACAGACAATAGTGCAGTGCCAAGAATCAGTCGTTATGGACAACAAAATGCAGATCTCGGAAAAGGAAAACGAATGGGGGAAATTTTGGATCAAAACGCCTCAGGGAAATACGTTGGCGATCCCCAGTTGGGACCACGTGTTAAGAAAGAAGGCGAGGGTAACGCTTATATCGGCAAAGGTGTTCGTATGCAGAAGATTATGACGAGTGTTAAACCAGATTCACCCAGACCCGTCCCCAGAGTGAAAAAAGAAGCCGAATCAAATGCCGAGTTGGGCAAGGGTATGCGAATTTCGTATATTGTGCATGATAGTAAAAAGCTGCCTGAAACACCGACCAATGCTCGAGGAGTGCGATCAACGGAAGCTAAACGAATTCAGCAATTTAGCCGTGGACTTGTGGGTAAAATGATGCAGGACGCTGCCAAAAAAGCTATCGTGTATAAACCAGGTATGCAAAGTCCACATTACGATATTGCTCCTACATATCCAACCTACCCAAAATATTAGATACGAATGCGCAATAACTTGCACGCACAGAAGTAATTAATATCAACAAATCCTGTGAAAACAGGGAAATTATGTCGAACTGTGTTAGAGTTTGGAAGTTGTACATTGTTTTTTAAGTTTCTAAATTCTATTTTTCTAGGAAGGGTATAAGTATAATGATATTCTTTTAATAATTCGTTTATTGTTTTGTACAATATACTGAAATGAATTGTAAGAACATTTCTTTCAAACAATGGTTTGAGATATTTAGAATGTTGAAGTTAGATACCATCATAACAGTACTTTCAAGGGAATGAAAGATGTCATATAATAGGGCTATCGCAGTTCCTTTAGGGGGTGATCATTTCAGAAATTATTCATCTAGTATCGAATTTTTAATTTTTGGACCAGGAACTAGGTCGCAAACGCTAGTGCTACTCAACTTGTTGTTCTTAGGGGCGTCGCTCTTCGAAAAAAGCCTAATTACGATCGACATGAAAATTGGCATGCTTGTTAATTGGACACCCGGTTCCTGGTACATAGAACGCTCTTACTTAGTTTTTTCATTTTACATTCTGTAGTTTCGAATTTACAATTCATCAGTTTTCATTTTTTTTGTACATTTGATAATTTTCTCAGTCAGTTTTGAATAGAAATTTTGTAGTTTAGAATTTTAAGATAATTTTTGTCATTTTATATCTTTTTCGTACGTTAAGAATATAGAGAGATATTTTTATTTCGAATTTAATATTCATCCGTTTTTATTTTCTTTGTTTTGTACATTTTGATAATTTTCGCAGCCATTTTGAAATATAGAGATATTATTTAGAATAGATCAGTTTTGATTATTTTAGTGTTTTGTACATTTGATAATTTACTCATCAGTTCGGAATGTTGACATCACTTTTTAAATGATATTGTGATTCCATTTAATGATATAAATTTCACACCTAACCCAGAGTATAAAATTTAATTTGTTGTGTGACACAGAATTATTAGTGACACAGCTGTGCTTATAAAGGCCATTCCATTGAGTGTCAGATCAATAATTTTAACAGGTATGTGTGGAAAATTCTCGTCTAGATCGGGTTGACATTAACGTGAAGTATGAAGTATTTTTTAAACAATTAAATCTTTATTTCATGCCTTATATGTACATTTATTCATTAAGTCAATATGCAATTTTATCATGGCATTTTGTAAATCATTACGCCGCGATATGTTAAAGTCTTCCCTTATAGTTAGGGTTAATTGATGACACCATCCATATACATGATTCATCTCATATTTTATTTTGGATATAGAACATGTTTGTTTCCTTTAAATAAGGTGCCTATCTTTTGTAATATATCCGGGAAAACTTGAGTTTAATACTCAAGTAGCCTGTGTGCTTTGTATAGATTTTTCGTTTTTCGTTTGTTGGTCGTTTGTAGATTACTATATAAGCACTTTGCAGGTTTTTAATGTTTTAGAATGTTTCTGGTGTACCTGATCAGCATAATATATTGTAAATGTAAAATAATTGTGCATATGGCTTACATGCATTAACTAATAAAATGGAGATTAAAATGTATTCACCTTCAAAGAATTATAGAATTATTGGTGACTTAGGTATCTGGCGGTTTCTTTTTTACCTGACAATGTCGTTGGTAAAACAACTTCATTGTCCAAAATTTATCTCAAATGTTAGTTCAGTATTTAATGTGATTGCGGGAAAAGGCATCCAACAAATTGTCTACTGTGAGGGAGTTGGACAAGATAGAGGTTTCGCATCAGGCATTATGGCATGGTGTGGAATATCCGACAAAATAGCTTACTTGTATAAGTACACGCTTTTGTCGGTATTGTGGCTAACTAAGGTTGAAATGGACAGTTTGTTACATAGGAGAGTATCGAAGGTAAACTTGGTCATTTTGAGACTAAGCAATGGTAGGGAACTGTGGAACATAAAGAGATCCGACATAGTTAGCGCATGCTTCGTATTCCCAGGGGTGTAAATGTTGCGGGGGGTACACCCAAGAAAAAATAGCCGATCGGTGGTCAAACTTGACTTAGCGCGGACGAAAATAGTCATATCTTTGCTAATTTATGTATAGGACCTATTCACCACAGCAATGTATCGAAGATATAGGTCCATGTAACTGATGTAATTATTATCAATTTTACTTATGTTATAAGTGTTTTCTGACCATCAGAATTCTGCAAAATCTTCCCCCTAAGTCCAGGGGCCTGTTTCACGAAATTTTAACTAAGATAAATCCAAATTTTAGTAGGCCTAATTTGATTCGATAATATTAGATTGATTTTAGTGCTTAGCCAATCAAAATTGAAGTGTCTACTAGAATTTGGATTTTATCTTTAGTTAAGATTTCAAGAAACAGGGCCCTGAAAATGGCATTTCAGGGACTCTTGATTAACAAATTTCTCAGAGGGAGCATACCCCGGACCCCGCTAGAAATCAGAGTACTTGAACGGCAGCTTAGCTTTGCCAGCATAATGACTTACAAATTATAATGTTATTTTTATTTTATTTTATTTTTTTAGGGATTATTTTAGGGAAGATAATATCTGTCCGTTTGCTTCAGATTGGGAAAATCTTTGGCTAGGTGAATTGTATCAGTTGTAGTGGAAATAAATATAGGCTACTTAAAATTCAAATATATAGGATAGTCTATATTTTGTTCTAGAATTAATGATAACTTGAGAAATACATCTCATACATTTGCTACAGACCAACGATTTAATTTAAGCTTAGCAAGTCTTTGGAGCTAATTTGAATCGGGCGATCGGTAGCTTGCGACCTATGTTGAGGCACTAAAAAAAAATGTAGCTACGAGAACGTAGCTAAAAACGTTGAGATATGGGCCTACAGATGTGCTTGTGGTTTGAGAGTAGATAACAAACCTCATCTCCCAACCCTCCCGTGTTTCGAGATAAGAGATGGTGCTATAATAGTTCCAGTGTAGCAAATCCCAACGGAAATCACATCGGGACTCAGTAGGCCTAAGCAAAATTGACAATATTTTTCATCAAAACGACGATTGATTATTGTTATTTATAATATTTCTGCCACATCCAACTACAATTACCGTAAGCATATAATCCTACCTAAACCAGGTATAAATGATCGTCAAGCCGTTACTGAGAATGCCATTTTTACACGGGAGGTTTAAACGCGAATATTTGGCGTTAGGCGATAGGTTGTGCCACTACATTGGCCTCTGAGTATAAAATTATCTTATTTTTAAGACGTTACATGCATTAATAAAGATGCTGAGTTTGCCACTTGGAACTAAAGGCACCCAATCGTGGCTAAAAACAAGCACATCAGTATATCTCAACGTTTTTAGCTACGTTGTCGTATTTGGGAGATGAGGTTTGTCATTTACAAAAAAATGGTGCATGTGAGTTTGGATGCCCCTTTATAAAAAAAAATGCATTAGAAAGTCTCACAAAGGAGCGTACCGGTATATCAAAACTACAAGTAACTACACATTTATTACAAGGGCTATTTAAAAAAAAGTACATAAAAAGGACTGAACATTTTTAACGCAAGATAAAAAAGAAAAATCTGGAAAGGTTCTCCACCCTTTCCACTTTTTAAAAATGTAGTTATCTCCCTTACACCTTTAATTAACATGAAAACAAATCCGGCGATTCACAGACGTTTCCAAATAATATAAATTCAATGTTTAACGATATTCCTGGAATGACAATCCATACTAGTTCCGTAGTTGGGTTCAAATCATTACCAATTCGTCCAAAACTGTGGATAAAATCCACACAATCTGACAATATTACTAACCCTAAACATTTGGCGTAGTGATATATGAAATAAAATATGAATCACGGCCTACTTTCCAGGATCAACATGGCGGATGTGTGTAACTAGATCGCCTGGGAGTATTTTGGATTTCTAAATCCTTCTCGGGATTTGGGGTTGTAGGGTAAATTAAGAGGAAAAGTAAGATATATTTTTATGGGTTGTCTTTTTGTAAATGTAATATTTACATTGTCTCTATTTGCCCTCGCATGGAGACGCATTTAACGACCATAGGCCTAAAAATAAAATTGTGATGTCAAAAAATATGACTCAGTCTCGAAAGCTAGATTCTAACTAAACTTGTTATTTTGCTGTAGGACCTATATAATACTAATAGTCCATGGTAGTACCCCTGTTAATGTACGACTATCTTCCCTCCTCACTATTCAAATTTGTAATTGACCTAATAATATATTTGGTTTATTAATTTCCAATACTGTTTGAACCGGTATGTCCTAAATATTGTCATTCACTCATTGTGAATATTGTGATGAACAGACAGAGAAAAACATCTGAGACTCAGTAAATTTAATACACAAGACAAGCAAATACTAAATAATAGGTTAATACTCGGCCTAAAATAAACCAAAAGGCAAAGACTATGTTTTGTTTTCTTTGGCTTAAAGGTATTTCAATCATGGTTAGGTGATGGAGTTTTATTTGCTGTACAGTGTTACACTGTAGGGCCTAGTAGTAGTTCTCTGAAGTGAAAATATCCTATAAAAATCATAATCCTGTGGTGGTGATGGGTATTCATATTATGTCCATGTTTGTTTTGAAAAATTCAGATTTCTGACTGACCTGTGATTTCCATAAGGTTATAAGTTCTTTTCTACATATGCATGCACATTATACGGAAACTGTACAATTTAGATGGCAAGGTGATTTTCCCAATATACTGGTCCGTCCATTACTAAAACCAGCCAATAGCCTACTACATTATATTGTTGACACTAACTACATGTAAAGGAGTCGTTGTCTGCTGTAATGCTACATGCGAGCCCCGGGAGTACCCTTATGTATCCTATTCCTAAGTCATATCAAGGTACATGTGTAGCAGTAATTTTACTACAACATCATGCCTGTGGTCTCTTGCGATTGTGGCCATACTTCCTGCAAATTCATGTAGTATAATTAGTTTTACAATAATACATCAAGCGACCAGTCTGCAAGATTTTCCAAACTCTGATCCACTTAAAATGTTACCGGAAGTAGGGTATAGAGTTTTTCAGTTATCACATCAGGTACTCAACTGTATACAGAAGGCTGCCCTGGTACGTGTTTGTAGTATTGTAGCTGACAACGACCCCTTCAACAAAAAACTGACAATTTGTAGAAAATTCGTACAGTATTATTGAAAGTCTATTTGAAACTGTTATATATATATATATAGAACGTTGCATACCGTACGCAAGTCATTTTTCTGCAAATTAACATATTCTTGTCCAAACAGTCGTATTGGTAAGTAATTGTTGTCCGTCTGTCTGTCCTTCACACTTTTTGGGACACAATAACTCTCCTTCTAATTGAGTTAGAATGTTCAAACTTGGTGTAGGTGTTTATTAGGTCGATGCATTGATGGAGTTCGAAGATGAGCATTTTCTGCTTAGGGTAAGCAGAGATAAGCAATTTGATTGGTTGATGCTTTGGGACACAATAACTTTAGTTTTGATTAAGTGAGAATGATGAAACTTGGTGTATAGTTTCATTACATCAACACCTTGACTAAGTAAAAGTTTGATAATGAACATTTTCTGCTCCGGGTAAGCAGAGAGATAAGCAATTTCATTGGTCGAGACTTTGGAACACAATAACTCTCCTAATTAAGCAAAAATGTTCACACTTGGTGTAGGTCATGTAGGTGTTTATTAGGTCAATGCTTTATTGATGGGGATCGAAGAAGAGCATTTTCTGCTTAGGGTAAGCAGAGATAGGCAACTTGATTGGTTGATGCTTTCGGACACGGTAACTTTAGTTCTAATTCAGTGAGAGTGACAGAACTTGGTGTATAGTTTTATCACATCAACACCTTGACTAATTTCGAGAATGAACATTTTCTGCTGAGGGTAAGAAGAGTGATGATAAGCAATTTGATTGGTCGAGACTTTGAAACACAGTAACTCCTTCTAATTGAGGTAGAATGTTCAAACTTGGTGTAGGCGTTCATTAGGTGAATACCTTGATGGAGTTCAAAGATGAACATTTTCTGCTTAGGGTAAGCAGAGATAAGCAATTTGATTGGGTGATGCTTTGGGACACAATAAAGTGAGAGCGACGGAACTTGGTATACTTGTAGTTACATCACATCAATACCTTGACTACGTTTGATAATGAACATTTTTGGCTATGGGTAAGCAGAGCAAAGCAGTTTGATGGTTAAGACTTTGGAGCTCAACAACTTTTATTCCAATTGGGTGATAGTGGTGAAACTTCATGTATAGTATCATTACATCAACACCTTAACAAAGTTTGATGTTGAGCATTTTCTGCTTCGACAAAGTAGAGACTCCAATTTGATTGGTCAGAACTTTGGAACACAATATCTCTCCTTCTAATTGAAGTAGAATATTCAAAATTGGTGTAGGTGTCTATTAGTTGAATGCCTTGACAGAGTTTGATCATGTGCATTTTCCACTAAGGCTAAGCAGAAATAAGCAATTTGATTGGTAGAGACTTTGGAACACAATAACTTTGGTTCTAATTGGGGGAGAGTGATTAAACTCTGAGTATAGATTACTTATATCAATGCATTGACTAAGTTCAATGATGAGAACTTTTTGGAACATAACAGCTCTACTTTTAATTCAGGTATAAAATTAGGCAAATGTCTTGACTTGAGTTCAGTGATTAATATTTCCTGTTGAAGATAAGCAGAGCTAAGCAATTTCATTGGTCGATGCTTTGGGACAAGATAACTTTGATTCTAACTGATGGAGAGTGATTAAGCTTTGTGTATAGTTTTACTACCTACCAGGTACTTCAAAACTGGACTGAACATTTTATGCTTAGATGCTTAGACTAAGCATAGATAGTCAGTTTCATTACTCAATACTTTTTGAAAAGATAAAATGTGCAATTAATTAATATTTGTCATCTGTTTATTTTGGGAATGGCAGAGTACATCAGCCTCACTGTTGGCTTGTTCTTTCTGCTTTTACATGTATCTCCATTATTAAACAAAAAACGGTCAGACTGTTAGTGCCCTCTTGGTTATTTTACAAATGGAACAAGTATATTGGTCGTATATTGTCGTCGCCCCCGTCCGGCGTCCACAAGGTTCTAGAGGCTAAAGTTAATATCTGATTGACTTTAACTTTAAACGCAGTGTTTACGGTCATGAGACAAAGAAGCCTATTGATTTTCAGCGATTTCCGATAATTACTGCCAGAGTTAAGGCCCTTGATGACTTTGAACAATATTGAGAACGCTCTAGAGGCTAAAGTTAATACTCGATTTGACTTTAAATTTATAAACCGTCATGAGACGAAGAAGCCTATTGATTTTCAGCGATTTCCAAAAATTACTGCCAGAGTTATAGCCCTTGATCACTTCAAAAAATCTTCTGGATGCTCTAGAGGCCAAAGTTAATATCCAATTGACTTCAGATTTATTAAATTATACACAGTGTTTGAAGTTTAAGGTCATGAGACGAAGAAGCCTATTGATTTTCAGCGATTTCCAATAATTACTGCCAGAGTTATAGCCCTTTATCACTTGGAAAACTTCTTGCGAACTCTCTAGATGCTAAAGTTAATATCGGATTAACCTTAAATTTATATACAGTGTTTAAGGTCATGAGACGAAGAAGCCTATTGATTTTCATCAATTTCCGATAATTACTGCCAGAGTTATGGCCCTTGATCACATCAAAAAATCTTGTGGACGCTCTAGAGGCCAAAGTTAGTATCCGATTGATGTTAAATTTTTGCACATGAGACGAAGGTCATGAGACGAAGAAGTCTATTGATTTTCAGCGATTTCGGATAATTACTGTCAGAGTTATGGCCCTTGATCACTTCAAAAAATCTTGTGGATGCGCTAGAGCCTAAGGCTAAAGCTAATATCCGATTGACTTTAAATTTATACAGTGTTTGAAGTCATGAGACGAAGAATCCTATTGATTTTCAACGATTTCTGATAATTACTGCCAAAGTTAAGGCCCTTGATCACTTTGAAAAAATTTTGTGACGCTCCAGAGGCTCAAGTTATCATCCGATTAACTTCAGATTGATACACAGAGTTTAAGGTCTTGAGACGAACAAGTATATTGATTTTTAATAAATTTTGATAACTTGAACAGCTAAATCCATGATATTAAATGTTTCGTATACCGTACTAAACGTTAGCATGGGGCAGAACTCTTAATCAGATTTTAGTGTTTTATAAATGTTTCATTACTGAAAACAGTAAAAACATGCGACAACTCTTGTTGACTGCCCGGATGATTTTGCTGCTGTGGGCGTACGTTTCGTTGTCTGCCAACCTATCTTTTAAATACATGCTGTACTGCAAACTCATGTACATGTATAGCGAGTGGGGTCATACACATGTACCAGTGTATGAAACTTTTTTTTCTACAACTACTTATAGTGAACACATTAAGTTCACTTAATATTTATAATTCTTAGGCTTTACTACTATAACTGTAAATATCGAATCTACAAACTCATGTACATGTATAGCGAGTGGAGTCAAACACATCACTCTTTATGCATACATGTACCAGTGTATGAAACTTTCTTTTTCTGCAACTACTTGTACTGAACAAATTAAGTTCACTTAATATTTATATCTGGAACTTTGGTAAAAATACTAAATAAATTTCTAGTAGCAGTTGTCTCAAAATGACCCTTGTCGAGTTGATGTAGTGTCAAATATATCTTAAATTGATTAGTTTTGAAACTACTTTAAACTCAAGACCTATCAATCAGTTTACATTTTATGTACCATCCATGATGTAGCTGGAAAAAGATTTGAGTCAGAGTCAGTGGACTAAATAGTAGAATATATCTTTTAGGATATAAATTATTAGATGTAATTCAAGAACCACCTTCCAAGATTTATCTTAGTCAACCTATTTATAGAAACACTCTAGTAAACCAGCTTCAAACATGAAATTCTTCTGCGTTTGTATATTTAGAATGGTTTGGCACTCAATACTCTGCTTGGGGTCCCCTTCTATCTTTAAGGTTGTCTGTAATCGACCAAGCCTGCAAGTGTTAGTTTTTTAGTAGAATTTTTTATCAGATGTATGGCTAGAAGATGTTTTTTTCCTGATAAAAAGTTTGTTGGTTCGGTAAAATATGCCTTAATTGAGGATCTGGTTTGATGAATATGCACTTGTGTCCGATCAATATTTAGGTTTTTCTAGTTTTGGTTTTGAAAGTGTATTAAGAGGGTGTTTTTGATTTGATGTTTTTGTGAAGTACATGTACATGTATATTACTGTACCAGGTAAGTTGTCTGTTAATTGTAATCTACATCTATAGACAGTGCTGTAGACTTGTTTAGAGTGGTTTTAAATGAGGTTTTCTTTACAAGGTAGCCTGTTGGGTTACATTATGAAAAGTGATTCTCAAAATTACTTACTAGTAATTTCTTTTCTAACTTTATGAGGTCTAGGCTCTACACAATGTAATTACCTGTTTATTTTATGTAATGATAAGTGGCATTCTAATATTTTGTCATTTGATATGTAATGTATCTAAACAAATGTAACGTACATGTATGTAATTATGTTGATAAGTATATTGAGAGTGGAAGAGGTAATTTTAATCTTTTGACAATTAAAGATTTCTTAATATCAAGTGACTCAAAATCGTTTAGAGTATAAAGAGAAGAGTAAATTATGTGATAAGATAAAACGAATCTGTTATTTTATCAGTCGAATGAGATTGGTTAACGTTTTATAAAAGAATGCATATGTGTTTACGTGTAGATATAAATGTTTGAAGTGTTGCACCTGTGTATGCAATTCATACATACATGTGTACAGTACATGTATCTTTATAATTCACTCTACAGTATTATCTTATGTCAGTTCTCATAACTTTTTATTTAAAAACATAGTTTCTTTCTTTCTTTGTTGTTGTCATAAAAAAGATTATTAAATGTTGATATTTTGCCTAGTGTGCCAGCACTTGGACAAAATTCTTCAGAGATATGTTTTTGTTAAGTATTTTGTGGGTGAAAATTTATATAAAAGTTATTAAAAGTGATTATCAGATTACTACCTGTAGTATGTGAGTGTGACACTAGTTTCTATTTTAATTATTTGATGCATAAACTGATTTCCATAAAAACAAACAGAATTGATGGGTTGTGCTACACAGGTGTAGGATACATGTACAAATGTACATGTACTATTTACCGCTTGGCATAGGCGTACGAGCTGGGGGGGCTGCCCCCATTTTGGGCACTAAATGCTGGGAAAATTTGGGCACACAATTGTACTTTGTAAAAGTTGTCTAAAAAAAGATATTGTGTTCTTGAATGTGTCCAATTTAACACCGAATTTTATTATTATTATGTAACATACTAAGAACCTAACTACATTTTATGGGCACCAACCAACACTGCCCCCCCAGTCAAAAATTTCCCTGTACGCCTATGCCGGTTGGCACTATTCCTGTTCTCTTGATGCAGTCTCATCTAATAAAATTGTCAACCAAGACTGATATGTCAGTTGATATTTTGATGTTTCAAAATCCAGACAAATAACAAACATCTTGCAAACTAATAACACACAAACACACATGCTGCTTTAAAAATAAAATGATCAAAAACCAATTTGGGCTTTGCATTTTGGACTTTACTCCAACCACCGGCACTGGTTGAATATGTACATAAACAGACACTACCCATTTTTTAAATGTAAGAGAAGTAAGAGATGTAACATAAAACAATGTGTTTTCTAATGGTACTGATAGATAGATCTGTTTATCTTTATAAGACATGGTGTTCAGGTGTGTCGAGTTTAACCTTTTAATTGTACAAATGGTATCAATTCCTGTCTATACTGTATATAACAGTAGATACTAAGTTTAGTCACGGTATATACAGTGGCTATTGTTTTAACAAGTGAAAATGTTTAACATAGGACATACTTATCTGGTCTCATTTTTAGAGAATCAGTTTACTTCCAGCTACAGAAAGTAGTAGAAAATATGAAATTATGTTGTACTAGGCAAATTGTGGTAAACATCATAAACATTTAACATTGTCTTTTTGGAGTTTATTTTCTGTCTGCAATATACATGTACATGTAATGTGTATGCTTAGGCTTTCAACAATTGTCATAAAAAAATAAGAAGTCAAGATATTATATCATTTAGTAAAGGGGCATTATCAATTTTTTAGCCCACATGTGGTTGTATATTGTTGATTCGTATATCCCCACACTTACTTACATGTACTTGTTCAACTTTTAATTTCTGTTGCTAAATTCTTTAGGAATAGTTAGTATTGGGGTAAATATGGTCCCAATCAATTTTAAGTTTTTTTGCGAAAGCACTTCAGAGTTACGTGTATGGACCTTGTACTGGCTAAAGATGGTCCTTATTGATCAGAATTTTTACAAAAAGAAGTTCAGGAGTTATGGCCCTGTGTAACTGATTCATGTATATTTTTTGTACAATGTTGATATTATGTAGTATTGTGTTCATACTCGCCATATAGAGTTTAGGAATAGTTCATTTGTTTTTCATTTTCACAATAAGTAGTATGAGTCCTGATCCCTGACTGATACGATCGTTGATAAATGTACATTACCTTACCCGGTACTACTCATTCTACAGTCTTAATTCTTAAAACATTTGTGAATAGTTTGTTAAATGTAGATCACATGGTCTCTACATGTATTCGGAGTATTTTGAATCATAATCAATATTTAAACATTAATTATGCAAGAGTTAAATCTGCCTATTTCATGTCATTCTCTAGGCTTGAAATGTTTTCTAAATTATCAATTAGACATTAATTACATGATCCAGGCCATAATCAACTCTCAATGGCATCGTATTTCTTCGATATTAAATAGATTAGAATGGTTCAGCCATATTTTGATTTAATTTAAAAATGGAGGAGCGAGACATAGCTTCGAACAACCAGTACGGTGGTTGAAATTATTGCATATGTCTTGTCAAAGGCTAATATCTTCGCTTGCAATAGAGTAATTTGAATGAAATGTTCAAATTATTCATTTTACATTATCTATTTTCGAACTATTATACTATAGCAAGAATGGCTAGCTCTTTAGCTAAATTTTACATAATGTATCTTTAAGTATACTGTAGGACTCTTTAACTCACAAACCTTGAAAAACAGAACCCCATACAATATATTTAATGACTCGTTATGCTTGTAAGTTGTCATTTTAAGGAATTCAGTGGAATTCGATATTGCCTGTTTAAACCTTAAACTTAACTTAATATAATATAATCTGTTGATAACGTTATTACAACATTTTTTCATATCAAAAACAGCAGAAGGAAGTATTATGTACACGTGTTAAAATTTCTATTTGCATTTGTGCTTCTTGTCTTATTTCAGATGATAAATATTGAAAGCAGGTAAAATTTGAAGCCCATGAACCACAGGTGTATGAATAAGCCATTGATTGCAATGTTGGGAATGAAAAACATCTATCTTCATTTGCATGTAATTAGTACATGTATAATATATGTCTATTTTCATTGATTAATAAAACTGAGCTATTTACATTGATTTTATCTGTACTATTGATTTTTTGGTATTTTTCAGATAAGATACATGTAGGAATCATGGCAGAAGAAGTGGTGGTAGTAGCCAAATATGATTATAAAGCAGAGAATACACAGGAACTAAATATCAAGAAAAATGAACGATTGATATTATTAGATGACAGTAAAGATTGGTGGAAAGTACAAAATGCTGACAATAAATCTGGATTTGTACCCTCAAATTATGTGAAACGTGGTAAAAAGGGCGGCTTATTGACTAGTTTAAAGTCAATAGGTCGCAGCAAAAAAGATCAAAAAGGTGGGATTGGGACGCCACCCGCCTTGCGTAATGGGGATTCGCGTAGAAATCAACCTCATAATGAATCTCCATTAAACAATCCGACTGCTCAAGTGGTCTTTGAGCCTGCAATAGTTAAATATATGTACACAGCCCAGCGTAATGACGAAATGTCCTTAATTAAAGGTGAACGCTTGGTAGTGACAGAAAAATCTAGTGATGGGTGGTGGAAGGGTCAAAAAGATGATGGGACTCTTGGATGGTTTCCCTCAAATTATGTAGATCTTAATTCAAATGGTAACGAGGAGGCTGATAATGTGTTATATTGGACAGCTGCGGCCGCCGAATCTCTCAGTCAAGAATCCAGTGAAATCGTAGTGACTTTATATCCATTCAAATCTTCAAATAAAGAAGAACTTGGCTTTGAAAAAGGTGAACGTTTAGAGATTGTTGAAAAACCTGTGGAAGATCCAGAGTGGTGGCGTGCTCGAAACAGTCGCGGGGAAATGGGTCTGGTTCCCCGTAGTTATGTTCAAATTCTGGAAGACGTTAATAACGGGGAAAGGGCAACAAGTGTTACGAGTTCTTGCACACCTCAGTCTGAATCAACAAGTAGTTTGTCAAACGCTTCTTCTCTAGGTCAAGGAGGACGTAAACAGTTTCATATATCTGGTCCCATGTCCGATAAGGATTGGTATTATGGTAAAATAACCCGACAGCAGTGTGAAGATTTATTATCAAAGCACGCTGAAAATGGTGACTTTTTAATTAGAGACAGTGAATCTACTGTAAGTTTTTGTTTGTTACATGTTTGTGACTGTGTATTGTGTTGTTTTGTGATTCTAAAGACCACTCATCTGGAAAATCCCTTGTATTGAATATCCCCACCCCGCTTATCAAGTTATATAGACAGTATCTGTCATGTTCACTAGCCTCTGGTCAATAACACTAAACGCAGTCTCACGACACAAATTTAAATAACTAATAATTAAGGAGACTAGCTCAAGCTTCAATGATGGAAAGTCGTCTGTCATTCACACCCATTATATATTTATATATGTATTCTTTCTAACACTATTTATTCATTAAATATTCACATGGTATAAGGAAGGATACGATATATAATTATGGGATCTGTAAACAAGCCGGAGCTTACATAAATTCATCACCTGTTAGACATTATTGACAGAAATATATTTATATTTCAATATATTGCAATGTTGGCATCAAAACTTAAACAGAAGGAAATATAACATTTGTGAAATGCCATTGTTATTTTATTATACGTCCACATTCATAATGTGAACGTATTATGCCGTCGCCCCTGTCTGTGTGTGTGTGTGTGTGTATGTATGTATGTGTGTGTGTGTGTGTGTGTGTGTGTGTGTGTGTGTGTGTGTGTCTGTGGTTCGCCTACAGGGCGCAATTCTTCATGGATTTTCTTCAAACTTGGTATACTTATTCCTTATACCCCAAGGAAGATCCCTATTGTTTTTGGTGCATGCCCGACCCCCCGGGGCAGAGCCACGCCCATTTCTAGTATTTGTTTGTTTGTCGTCTACAGGCCACATTTCTTAACTAATAATCTTGAAACTTTGCATACACATTCTTTGTACCCTAAGGAACATCCCTATCGTTTGGGGTGCATGCCCAACCCCCAGGGGCAGAGCCACGCCCATTTTCTTTTCGTGTGTCTTTGTGTCGCCTACAGGGCGCAATTCTTACTGGATTTTCTTCAAACTTGGTATACTTATTCCTTATACCCCAAGGAAGATCCCTATTGTTTTTGGTGCATGCCCGACCCCCAGGGGCAGAGCCACGCCCATTTCTAGTTATTCTTTAAGTGGCATTTAGCGATCAGGGAACAAATTAACAGAACACAGTTTTTATGGGATACAATCACTAGTTTATTCTAAAAGCACGACGTTTCCACAAGTATTCTCTTATCGTTATCAATCAAGCAAAAAAAAACAAAAAAAAAACGTCATGCTTTTAGAATAAAGACATCGATTGTTTTAAAATAAAAATTGTGTTCTGTTAATGTGAACGAAATGTTATACTGATAGCAGTCCTACAACCCAGTTTTATTTCACAGACCCTCAATGCAAACTGGACCATATCAAACAAAACAGGAATGTGGACGTATATTGCTGCGTTAGCGATGCTCTTGTTATATAAAAAAACATCCATAATAATTGTTACTTTTATTATCTTTTTCAGAGTGGTCATTTCACTGTTGTGTTGAAAGCTCCAAATAGAAACAAACATTTTCGTGTGCAAATAAATGAAGACGGCAAATATGAGATTGGTCCACAGAAATTTGAGGATTTAGAATGTTTAATAGAACATTATAAACGACACCCTATTTATAAACAAGAAAATGAAAAACTCTACCTTATCAAACCTTTTACTCTGCCACCAGATTTTTGACAGGGGGTCAGTGTTTTTACATGTATAACATAGGATACAATCATCCTAGTAAAAACCTTTTATTAAACAAGAATGGTCAACAAGTTACGAGCTATTGTCACAAATTATTTTATACTTAATCAAGTTGTTTACACTTGAGCTATGGGTATTTTCAATGAAATCATGATTTGTACATAATCGACTACAAGGACATGCATTTAATTGTTTGTATGCATGTTTTGTACTGCAGGGTACAATATTGAATATTGCAATACAAACATAATGTATGATAACTTCAACAAGAAGCTCTATGTATCTGTTACCAAGATGCCTTGAACAAATTCAACCAAATCATTGATTTGGGGAGATGAAATTCATGTAGAAGAATTGGATACATGAACAATGATGATGATGACTAATTTATTAAACAAATATTAGGTGCACTTGTTAAGATTTACTTTAACTTAATTACTTACAGTGAAAAATTTTTAAAGTGTGTTTAATGTCGATGGATTTATATATGCCAACATTGAAATTTGGTCGTATAATGTCGTTACCCCGTCTGTCCAACCCTGTGGGTTTTCTCAGGGTCCTCCGGTTTCCTCCCCTGCTAAGCAAATTATTGAAATAAAATTGAACCATGTGTTAGTCCCAAAATGATCTAGTTTGTGTTGAGAGGACATTTACAGGCAAGTTCACCAGCCAGTCAGTTTGAAGGTTTGTCAGTAAAGACTGGTAAATATGACTGAAATGAGAGCCCAGCTGTAGAGGCTAAAGTTGACTTGAACTTTAAACACAATATTTAAATTTATGAGACAAACAAGCCAATTGATTACTCCAGATCTATTGCTCTTAACAATGTTTTCCAATAATTAGTCTGGCTTGGCTCCCTAACTTAGGCGAGATTTTTCAGTGTGTTTTCACCTTGTAACTGTCTAGTTGTTCGCTTGGCACGAAAAACTGAGGTCCCATTGTGGTGCACGTAGAAGAACCCTTTACAGTTGGAATTCAAGGATGAATATTGCTGATATTCAGCTGTCCGGGCAAGAAGGAACAGACACAGTTCTCATATAGGGTTGTACATGTATATTAAATGTTGGCACTAGGAAGGACTAGAAACCAATCAGATTTTAATTATTTCATGGGTGGTTGCTCCCAATCAGTTTTTAGTATCTTGTAAATGTTCCAATTACCTACAAAATAATAAATGTGTGACAAAAGTGGATTTAGCTGCTGTGAGCGTATGTTTTAATGCCTGGCAGCCTATGTTTTGTACATTTAAAATCAAGTCTGTTTTAAACTATTGGACATGGAATACTTTATTGCAGAGTTATTGATTGTCAATAACTATACATGTAGTATACCACCTGGAACACTCCAGGAATATAACTTAATTATTTGTAATAATTATCATCAGAAAAGTATGAAAGATACATTTATATAGGTATTGTATCAACCAATTGAGTAGACCTCAAACACAGTATGCAGTAGGTGTAAATGTTTTAAATGTACTTAATAAAATAAGTAGATATAAATAAATTGATTATTCACAGTATAGCAACAAAGTTTCTTTAATGCACTTGTATATGTACATGTTGGTGTTTAAGAAACTGAACAAGCTTTGGTATGTACTGGTTTAGCCATAGTTTTAAAAATTTATATCAAAAAATAAATAAATTTATACTGGATGTACATTCTGTCAATTGTTAAATTTAATTTCCATTATAAATGTACCTCAAGAACCCTCACATATATATATTGATCTGGTCTGATCTGCCTATATTAGTTCTGCCACAAATAACATTGTGTTTTTGTCCTAACATCTATAAAACTTGAAAGCCAATAAAAGACATTTGGATAATTTAGATAATTGATCAGTGGTACTGCTGGCAGAAATTTTTCTCAAATTATTTCTAAAATGTGACCAGTTAAATGATAGGGTAGATTATCATTATATTTTGATCCATTTATTTTGGAAAATCTATATTATAATAATAAGACAATACTATTTATTACAAGTATGTTATTATTATTATAAGATCAGAAAAAGAATTGACAAAACATATATACTGTATACTACAATATTGACAAGATATATGTATATTTCTTCAATTAGCCAAGTTCACTCGGACTATCTGCTTTTATGTTGGCCAGTTTCCAAGCTGACTGACTCACTGTTTGTAGAGGGAGAAAATAGGTTGAGACATTATTATAATCAAATGTGTGTATTACTTCTTATGAGGATGGTTTCTAATACTATACTGCTAGTCTAACTGAAAATAAGATGGTATCTGTTGTAATAAATTAATATGCTCTCTCTGTTTCTTAAAATACATTGGGAAGTAACTGATCTTAATGAAAAAAGTTTACCAGTATACTTTCAGGATATTGTTTTGTGTCAATTATTAGTTGAAGGAATGTAAGTCAGCATCACTTACTTTTATTATTTTTTTACAAAAATAAATGTTTCTTGATGAGTTGAAATCACTTACTTATGATGATGGTGCTAGATTTAATATGGTTGTTGACAATGGTAATTTGGTAGGATTTTCACTATTACTTAATCTGTATTGCACTACAGTGCAACATACATGTACTACATCTAAACTTATTTATTACTTCTGTCAACTCTTAATGTGACTAACAGTTTTATAAATGTCTATGTGAATTTTATAATTTTATAAAGGAAAACCCACTTTACGAAAATGCTGATGTATGTCACAGGATATTTTTCATATTAAAAACAAAAATTTATGGTCAAACTAACTGTAATTTGGTTGGACTGGAGAAAGTAGATGGATATGAAATGATGTATTAATGTATGTACATGTACATTGTATTATGTTATAATTTATTACATACAAATATCAACATATTATGTAAACATAACTAGAGAATCATAAATATACCTATATCTATCAACTTGTCATTTGCTCATATTGATTGAAGCTATGCATATTCATTATTTTCATACCTAATTCTTATCTATTGAATGAAATAAGTGTCAGCATTATATAGACAATTATATTAACTTTCAATAGAACATGAAGGATAATAATGATTCAATTTTTATAGGCATTTTTATATATTATTAATGCAATAGTTTGGGATAATTTATTTGAAAACTTAGATAAGATATATTCGGATAATTTGTTTGAAAACATACATATTTTATCAGTGATCTTTATGCTATTCTGCAATAAGCCAGCTGTGAGCATAGGTGGAAATTTAATAAAAACCAAAAAAAAAGAAAGTGTAATATTCAGTGAAAAATTTGATATATTCAACTGGCATTTTGGTCCATTATTTGATCATCAAAGCAGAGTTGTATATTAATTAATGACTCGGTTAAAGTGAAATCGGGTTAATTTGTGTAATTAATGATGCTCATATGATGTGTACCGTAGATGTATTATAATATATATAAGCTGCAGATAGCTTTGATTTGTGTGAACTTTGCTCCAAGTCTTAGGACTCTTTACATGCTTTTCTATATTATATGCAATTAATGAGACATAGTCAATGTAGGTTCTGTTAATTGAATGAATATGGTAATGTACATTACATTGTTTTCTTCTCATTATCATAGACAGATGTAAATTTATTGGAAACATTTATGTTCAGATTAATATCAATGGCAATATACATAATACCTGTATGTTAATGCTAATTATTTTGAATTAGGACCTATTAGAACCTGGTATTAAATATTATGTTAATTGTATCATACCCAATGCATGCAATCATATTTATTTCAAAATATGTTAATTTTGTGATTTTTGAAGAAAAACTGTATTTAAAAATACTTTACTTTAAATCATACAATGTGATTGTTTCGTTTTTATTCGTTTTTTTTTTTGTTGAGATGGGATATTTTGAAGATAAGCTCTGAAGTTTTTACCAAAGTTCTGTGGACTGGAATGTACTGATAATTGTCCCCATTGGCTTCCATATTCGTGAAATAATAGTTTCTGCTATCAGGTTAGTTATCTGCCCCTGGGTCTAGTGTCCAGGGGCCTGTTTCACGAAATTTTAACTAAGATAAAATCAAAATTTAGTAGATACTTCAATTTTGATTGGCTAAGCACTAAAATCAAATTACTAAAATTTGGATTTTATCTTAGGTAAAATTTCGTGAAACAGGCCCCAGATTGTTTGGATAGGGCTGAACTGCTAAACATGAAAACAGACCAGTTGACATAAGATTTCAACTCACAATGTTTTTGCTATTGCATCCTGAATAACAATGAACTATACATTTATAAACAGCTTAATCCACCTCTATTTGAGTGACATACAACAGATAAAGGTTTTAATTACAAAGTAATAACACAAATGGCAATGAAATCAATCTGCCATAATTGTTCTCTAAACGTTGCGATTGTTAAGGAGTTTAGCATGGCTTAAATACAAGGGCTGGCTGAAAAGTTCTAAGTCTTAAAAGGATAAATCAATACGGTTAAAACTAACTTTTGCTACCAACCAGTACAATCATTGATTGAATCATGGAAATAAGAACTGCACTGTAGTGTCAATATTTTGTCTTTGTACCATACCTTCCCATTGAAATCACCAGAAATGGACAAAGCTAGCTATAGGGCAGTCATCAAGTACCTGCACCTGAAAGAACTAACCCCAACACAGATACATGCCAAAATGATCTTCACAGTAAAGAAGTGGGCTGCGGAATTTAGGTGTGGTAGAGAGTCTTGACTCTCCATACATAAATGTAACTCACTTTCACATTTAACAGCAGGTGTGTATCAATTCTGTGCTTATATGAGAATTGTGAGAACTAGTGTAAAATAAATTAATTCAAGCAAGAAATACATATGCTTATCATGGCTCAGAAATATGTTGAGATTGATAAAAGTGCACATCAATGCCCTAAAGTGACTCCCAAGGAAAAAACTGGCGATTTCCCAAAATAAATTTTTTGGACTTAACTCCCCTTCCATACATGTAAATGTATACATCTCACTTTCAAATTTTACAGCAGGTCTAGCTGTCGAAGAAAACCCTTTAGGTTGTACAGGTGACCCTACTCCTTGTCATGTACAAGCGGGGGAATCGATACCACAGCACTTGACTCAATGATCAATCTTATGATCTAAGTTATCCCATTTGGCTACTCATTCAGGTACAAAAAAGTAAAACAAAAGGAGATATTGAGATCAATTCTATTTGATGAAGCATAAAATTATAATTGATACATATACATACAATTTTATGTAAATTAATTCAACTAAAATAATAATAGCACTAGTTTATAGTAAAAATCTACAATCAGATACAATTACATTCATACAAATAACCAAGATTTTAAACAAATTTGAATAATATAATACAGAGAAGGCTTTGTATTACATAGTCAATCAGTCTAATGGACACAATTTATCACCAGTTCTCCTCTGAGGTTTAAAATATCTAATTATCTTTATTTATTTGATTTAGAAGCAGCAAAATATCACAAAGGCACCCATAATAAAAAATAAATTTCTTCAGAAATCAAGTTATGTATATATATACATGTATGTAAAGCAATTTACAGTTTCACCCATTGTAAATCTATTAAAGAGTTATTTCCCCTTCTAATCAACCCTCTATTGATCCAAACCTTTAGCAACAGCACGGGTGAGGATTTTAAAATAAAATGGTATAAAAATGGAAACAGTTTATTATTCAATATTTGATATAAATTCTGTTTTATATCCTCTTCCAAATATCTGAGCTGTTTAAGCTGAGCAAATTCTATTTCACAATTCTACAGATACAAAAAACAAGATTTATATGATATAACATACAACTTGCTTTAAACATCAAGGGTAAAAGAATTGTGACCCTTGTTTTATTAAATGCTAATTACCATCCTTCATTTTATTGCTATTGGTCAAAAACAACATTTCAACTGGAGAAAAAAAATAATTACCCCTAAATAAGAATGCTGCTGAAAGCTCATATAACCAACATTATTATTACATTGAGGTTACATTCTATACATACAGTATACAAAAAACATTGCATAGACAAAAAGTGATCAAAGTACATAACAATATACTATTACAAAACTTAATATACATCTTATATATGTACAATAAATAACAAAATATACACTAGCTGAGATAATGATTTAAAAAAAAAAACAAGGTCATATCAAATTTAGATATGACGTATCCATTGAGATACAGATACATAAATGTTTATGCTGAGAATGCAAAGGATGGAACAATAATAAACATTGTTACAGATGTAACAAAGGTTTTTTTCAAATTTACATGTAAGTATGAAAATATGTCCACAGATCAAAAAATAATGCATGCCTACATAAAGATGTTTAAACACTTATATATACACATCCTATAGACTGATTTTACTTTGTATCCTAGAAGTGATCTTTAATAATTCATAGAGGTTCCTTACGAAAAGTTTCCACTCGATACAAGTGGAAGAGATCATATAGTTTATGTACTGCTAGACTTGTCTCTTGTAGGTTATTATTCAAAATTTTTGACAGTCAAATTATGTCATTTTAAGCAAAAAAAACCCCCAAAAACAATTGTCCAGACCTCTTATAAAATATTAGAAGTAAATTTGGTCTAGTTTATAATGAATGAGACATAAATAATTAAATATAATATTAACTTGACTATTTTATTAGCCATCAAGTAATAACTTCATCTTTATTGAAATCCAGGTTAGCTGTACCTGTTAATTTTTTAATCATCAATTCTAATCGCTTTCTGTCTTTCTTTCCATCTTCTACATCACGTTTTAATTTCTTCTGTTCCTGTATTGTATAAACAAAATATTTAATTAATACTTTGGCATTTTCTGATAAAATATCGAATTTCTCACAGATAATCCACGCTAATATGGCATGCACTTTGATTATTTAAAATTTGAAACAGAGAGAGAGAGAGAGAGAGAAGAGAAAATGGGGTTTAAGGTCCACTCGACACAAACTAGGTCATTTCAGGACTAACACATGGTTTTAATTTTATTTTAATACTTTGCTTGCGCGTAGGGGTCTTTAGCAGTGGGAGGAAACCGGAGGATCTTGAGAAAACCCACGAGGTTGGACAGGTGACCCTACTCCTTGTCACGTACAACCGGGGATTCGAAACCACGCCAGTTGATTCAATGACAGGCCTTATGATACAGCGCGCGTGCTAACCATTCGGCCATCCAACCCCCCTAAAATTTGAAACACATCAACAGATAAATGCTAGATAATGTCCCGGCTTGGATTTAATCAGATTTAAAACAGGCCTATCATTAATTTTTGGGGACAACAAAATGGCAGTGGGCTTACTGCATAGCGAGCAGCATAGATGAAATTTCAAGTCAACATATCTTTGAACTGATACTTTTAGTACAGATTCATCTTTCATAAAATTGTAGTTTGCAAGAGATTTCTATTGCTTAATATTGTGAATCAAGACATTAAATCACAGAATAATCTGTAGCTTATTTCTTGGAATAGAAATACTTTAATATATAATTCCCTTGAAAATAAATAATTGATTTCACCACATTATTTCATTCCTTATTATAAATAAACTGAATAAAGTATGAAATATTCTTAAAGGAGGTGCCATTATTAAGCTTTCCAATTTAAATAATATTAGAAAGACAATTAATTTGTTTGTTCTGTTTGTCATGCAAATCTTTTGAGGATTTAACTCTAGGTATATTAGGTAGTAAATGTGACCTTTATTAGAAGAAATGAATTTTATAATTTTTTAATATTACAACTGCACAACCAAAACAGGTCCTACTAAATACCCACAAGGGTGTATTTTTTGCCAATATTGACCCAGAGTGGATGCTTACAGTTGGTCACTGAATCCATTCACTTGATTTGATATAATTTGTTGCTTATTTCTTGCAATGTTTATATGTAGTTTGTCTTGCTGCCTGTTGGTTTTGTTTTGTGTGCAGTGTTGTTCTCCTGCACTTATTAATTGCTATAAATAGATGGTTACATTTGTCTGCCATGAAATTTGGGGAATCAAATAATAACCTTAATTTATTAGTTCTCTGTTCTGTCCCATTCTAGAATACCACTGTCCAGTTTTAATTTTTGTGCTGTTTGACTGATTTTAATATTTCTGACTGAAGTGTCATCATAGTGTGGTTGCCGCATTTATCAGGCCATTTATTACATGTAAACAATTGGCCCAAATTCTTTTTAGAATTTAAATAACTGCATTCATTTCCAACAGATCATCTTGTATCAGTAATGGATGTCCCATGAAACCTGGGATTGCTCCTTTGGCAAGATGATTCCTTCTTGAGGAAAATCTATGGACCCACACATTACAGTACAAAATATTTCACTCACCTGTTCCAAACCTTTCACCTTATCTTTTAATGAGTAAACTGTATCTACTAGAGTTCTGTAATAATCATATGGATCACATAAAATTTAGCATATATAAAAGGAAGAACATCTCATCAACATTTTTACCCTAACGTTTCATTTTTATTAATATGCTTTCATGTACATGTGCAATATGCAGGATAATAAATTGACAGGCCAATCTTGGAAATGCATTTGAATTGCATATTGGTTAAGAATCATGATATTGTATGAAACTGTCACTTCAGTTCAAAATGTTGTACACAAAATGTCATATTTTTAAAGATTTTCTATAAAAAATGTAAGTGTAGCCTTAGAAATAAAATATCAAGGGCAGATTTATTTTGGTTAAATATGAAGTAAATTTATCCTAGGTGCTTCCATCTTGGAAGGAAACTCGAACATATCCAGGTTGCAACTGAACTCACTACCTTAGGTGCATTGATAATCTGGTTTATTTACAGCTCTTCTACAGCTAGATAAAAATAACTTACGTTTCCGATAATCCACCATCAACATCCATAATTTTTTCATCTTCAACAACAAGAACTTGGGGATTGAGATGGACTATAACATGCAAACAAAGAAAAAGAAAAACACACAATAAGAAGCAGTGCACACAATCAATTGTAGCTCAAAACAATTTTAATAGATAAAGAGCCACATAAAAATACAGAAAACAATGTATAGCAGAAGTATTTTGACTGCTATTGTTTTCCATACAAATTTGATATCTGAATAATAATTTATGTTACACTTCAGTTATACTGCCTAAAAACTTCAGTTACTTTATAATCAATTTCTTACAAGATGAGTTTAAGTTTCAGATTTATATTGAAATGATACATATTATTTGTATCAGTAATACATGTATAAGCAAAATTAATATTTCAATTTAGAGTTTCAAAACATTTATTTATATCCTTTTCTTGAAAAGTAAAATTGTTTTGAGCTTTTATTTGGTGATATTGCAACTGAATAACTACAAATTTCCAACAAAATAAAAAATATTTTAAAATCTATTTGGCCTTAAAGGACAATATTGGTGTTAGCCATTATCACATATGTGATAGAACTGGTTAAACACGTTCCAAATATAATTTCAACAGAGATCATTGCCACGACAGATGCATAACGAAGATTTGAAGAAACGGGAAGTGACGCAAAAAATTGAAAACACAAGTTATCCTTATAAATAACAGATACACGGTCAAATTTCTGCTCACTGATAATTCTTTCGAAGACGAAAAGTTGATGTATGAGAATGTGAGGATATCTGACAATTATTTTTTTTGACTGTCACTAGATAAGAGAAAACAAAAAAAATATATAGAAAGGTCTGCACATTACCATGTTTTTATTAGGTATAAAAACAAGGGAATGTACAGGCCTCTTCTATTTTTCTTGTTTTCTTTTATCTATTCACAGTCTATTTTTTTTACACACAGATATCCTCCCACAGTCTCATACAACACCTTTTCATCTTCAACGGAATTATCAGTGAGCTGAAATTTGACCGTGTATCAATTATCGCTCTTCCTTCAATCTGACACCTCATAGCACACTGCATGGCGTATGCCCGTCTTCATTAGCCCAGTATAGGAGCAGAACAGTAGGACGTTAAACCCCATTTCATTTCATTTCAGTTATATATAAGGATAACTTTTGTTTTCCATTTTTTGCGTCACTTACCGTTTCTTCAGATCTTCATTACATATCTACTGTAGCAATGATCTCTGTTGAAATTATATTTGGAACGTGTTTAACCAGTTCTATCACATATGTGATAATGGTTGACACATATATATTGTCCTTTAACATGATATCACAACATACAAAGAAATAAAAGCACAAAACAATGATTTATGAAAATTATAATTTTTCTCACTAACATTATTCAATAAGTCTACACACTTGTGTATTTCATAAAAGTCTATACACATTAACAAAACATTGGGAATGATAAAGATAATGATGATGATGATGATAATGATAATAATGCCTATCACAATTTTAAGTACGATTTTCGAAAATATTACCAACTGATCAAATAAATGAGTATGAAGCTTTTAAAGCAAGTGAATTTATATACATTCCTAAATCTAAAATGAATCTAGTCAGAAATATTCAAGCTGCAAGCAATACTAATTGCAGCATAAACGTATATTTACCAAAAAACCCAAGAAACTTCTACACATGCTACACAACAGACACAAAACCTAAACACATCATGCAAACATTCAGAAATCTGTATATATATATAGGGAACATGAAAAAATTATATTTGAGCATGTGCATTATCCTTTTAGACTACAATACTTTTATAATAGAAAAAGCAGAAGCTTTACTGTACATGTACATTTTAATATGTCAACCTAATATGCTTGTTCTTTTAGTGAAAATCAATATTTTGTGTATGTGAATAAATTTTGTATATGTGAATACATACTGTACATGGAACAAAAACAGCCAGTGCACATTCAAATAGCACATGTATTTATGTTTAGCACTTTTATTACGCTGGTGAATGATTCATCAATTATTACATGAATTAATGCATTCAAACATCAATAATGTCACACTTGTCTTGCAAATACGGCAGCTATTTCTCAATATTGAAAGCTCAAACACCTAAACATACATTATGCAAGAGCTAAATCTGTCTATTACAGGTCTTTCTTTAGACATGAAATCTTATCTAAATTATTAATTAGATATTAATTAACCTATCCAGACCATAATCAACTCACGATGTCATCGTGAGCCTGCGATATTTATTGGATTAGGATCCGATTTGCTGCTCAACTTTCATTCATGATTTAATCATGAAATGGATAATCAAGACTATGTTTTTTATCGTACCAACTTTAGTAATGATGATCGAGGCTAGGCCGAAAATTCAGTCACTAAAATCTCGATTCAGAGTGGATCAATTTGACTGAAATTTTTAGCAAATTCCCTTTACATTATCTAGTTTTTAACTATTATAGTGAGAACTGCCAGCTCTTTACCTAATCTCCCATAATGTATCTTTAAGTACTACTCTGAGGTTTGAATGACCACAAAGACACTTTGGACTGTATGTTACTTTAAACAATGAATTGTACATGTTTCATCTAGAAAATATTGCTATTGCTACAAACAGGGACAATTATCGCTAACTGCATTTGTTGCATGCACTTTGCTATTGAGACAAAGCTGAAGTAATTATGATGAGGACATTAACAATATGCTGAATTTCACACAAGAAGTAGGTCATGCTTTAAGCTCTGTACATTATTAGACAATTTAGACTATCTTCTGGTACCTGGTAAGTTTACATATATACCGGTAGTCACAACTAACAGGAGGAATGGCCATGATTTCCCAGACCTTTTTTATATGTGCCCAACCAATGCCAATTAACACTTGTTCTTTCACCCATGATTATTCACACAATATCTATTCGTGAGTGATATCAAATTTAGTATTGTATATTAATCACCAAATTACACACAAAAATACATGCTTTGTAAAACAAGTTATAAATTCATAATTTAATAATATCAATATTTTATTGAATCTTATATAACAGCATACATATATTACATAGCTATATATCATTTATAATGCTTTCACTGATACCAGCAATGATTGGATGAAGTCATCAATTATTACACAACAATGTCATTAGCCATTTCTCCAAGACAATAAAATCAACAGTGTAACAAATATCATCTTCATGTAAAATTGTGGGATCCTTATTGGGTCAGAATTCATAGATACACATGGAATGGCAATACATATTTGTTCACAATTAGAGCCTACAGGTTCCATGTTTTAATCAACAGAACATTCAAATCTACAATAACATAATTCCAATATAACGTCCTGGACAACTGCCACTCACTGTGTGTAGGGCGTAATATAATGCATTAAAGGTATTTTCCCCAACCTATTCTTAGAACATAGTACATAGTTCTTCGTCAAATTAATTACACAATAGGGGGTAGTTAACATTTTAAAAACGTCACGCTTAACGGGTTAAAACCAGTTTCCACTACTTTAAAGTAACACAATTACCTTCCCATCAAAACTCATCTTACAATGCATCCTTTTTGTTCATAAATAAATTAAAGATACTTCTTTTTGGATATGGCAAGTCTCAATTTCCACAGATAGGCAAACTCTACACAAGTTATGTCATTTTGGGACTATGGACTATCTTTATCTCAATAATTTGCTTGCGCATAGAAATGTCAACCAGGCGATGATAGGCAGGCGACCCTACAAGTTTACATGTACACAAAGCTGGAAATGAAACCACGAAACAAGGACAGACCATATGATCTAAATCCCACATGAGACCACTTGGCGTAATGGTATTTCAGCTCCTTTATAATTATATTTTAATGGGTTATTACCTTTTCTAAATAAATATTAAATAAACTATATTATGAATGCTGTTGAGTGTTTAGAATAGTGTAAGTAGTTTTAGATCATAGTAAAAGGTTGAAAAATGTACTTTCAGTTTGCACTGCGGGTGGAATATTGAAAACAAAATCAGAATAGCTTGACATTTCTGGACGTTAATTCTGTAAACTTCATCCATATACGAGTACAAGTGTCGAAGAGCAATATAAAACAATGTCCTGCATTACCTTATGACAAAAAAAATCCAGTACATTTTACGTAATACAACTAATTTACAACTATACAATAACTTGTGTAGAAAACAACAATATAACAATAAATAATACAATAAATAACAAAATGGAAGTGCTAAAACTACTCCATTTATTGCACAATAAAAATAACTTAAATATCTCTACTTTCGTCATAAGATTATAATAAATTTCTTAACTTATTTCATATACTGTAATGTTTATAAATTTACGTATCAATAATAAAAAAAATTTCGTCCATAAGCAGGTGCAAATTTTAAAAAAAGCAAATGAAACAAAGGTAATTAATTATTCACAAAATGTCCTGATAATCTAGCTGAATCCGAGTTCAGAGGTCAATAAGCTCTAGTCAGTTTTTCAGTTTTTTTAACCTTTAATATTTTGATTTATATGCTAATGAATGAGTTTATTGGTATTGTATATGCCAATTTAAAAATGAAATCAATATTAACAGGTATGCCCTATTCTAACATTTAGCATACAAAATATTTAATATCAATAGCCATAATCAGGCCTGTAGCTAGCAGGGGGCAGCAGCCCCCGCTGGAAAAAATGCTGAGATTGGTGGGCCGCCGATGACAAAATCTATGATATGAGAACCATTTGGAGATTGTAGGAAATTTTCAAGTCAAATTTACAATGGGGATAATCTTCAAACAATTCCTTCCTTCAAATTTTTATAATGTTCCTATCAAAATATCATTATACGAAAATACACAAATTCAGCCTCAAAATTGAAATTTTCCGTTATTTTTCTAGTTCCTTTCGTCAGTTGCAAACCCTATTTTCCAAAATTTTCTGGGGGGAGATCACCCTAGACCCTTCTCTGAAGAGAGGTGCGTCACGGCGCCGTTCGCCGTGGACCGTCAAGTGTAGATACATCGCCCCCCCCCCACTAACATTTTGGGGCTAGCTACGGGGCCTGATAATTATTGGAAATCGTTGAATAATTGATAGGCTTCTTCGTCTTATGACCTTAAACACTGTATTAAATATAAAGTCAATCGGATATTAACTTTAGCCTCTAAAGTGTCCACAAGATTTTTCAAGGTGATCAAGGGCCATAACTCTGGCAGTAACTATCGGAAATTGCTGAAAATCAATAGACTTCTTCATCTCATAAACTTAAACACTGTGTATAAATTTAAAGTCAGATATTAACTTTAGTGTCTAAAGCATCCAGAAGATATTCTAAAGTGATCAAGAGCCATAACTCTGGCAGTAACTATCGGAAATTGCTGAAAATTAATAGACTTCTTCATCTCATAAACTTAAACACTGTGTATAAATTTAAAGTCAGATATTAACTTTAGTGTCTAAAGCATCCAGAAGATATTCTAAAGTGATCAAGAGCCATAACTCTGGCAGTAATTATCGGAAATCGTTGAAAATCATAGGGCTTCTTCGTCTCATGACCTTAAACACTGTGTATAAATTTAAAGTCAATCGGATATTAACTTTAGCCTCCAGAATGTCCCCAAGATGTTTTAGAGTATCAAGGGCCATAACTCTGGTAGTAATCGGAAATCGTTGAAAATCAATCAGATATTAACTTTAGCCCAAGGAGCCTGATGGATGGTTGGAAACAAAGACAATATAAAACCCCAATTCAATCTGGGCATATAAAAACGCAGACTAAGTCTGTGATAACAGGATAATACCTTTGACTTTGATTAGACATTGAATCAGATATCAAGAATAAAAACCTTTTAAAAGATGTAGCATAATTTTCTGTATTGCAGGTTTGAATTGTTTAATTGGAAGGTTTATACTGATTCAGCAATACTGAATATGCCCTGTTTGTATAAATCTATTTAGACTGGAGCATGATCAATGATGAGGGAGCTAATTCCAACATGACATATTAAATATTTAAATTACATGTATACAATCTATTGTACTGTATATATTTCTATTCAAGAGATCAGACTTTCAGTTGGCAAATGTGTGGAAGAAAAAGAGCTTTGTCAGTTAGATTAAAACAATATCCATAACATTTATCTACATTAATTACTGTTTTCACCATTAAACACATAATTCATTTAATACAAATAGTTCTTAAGACATAACAACTTTTTTTCAAAAATAAAATGTCAATGTCTATCATTTTTTTTTGCTGAAATATCAAAGTCACAACCGTTTTATAGCTTTTGCCATTCCACGAGCAAGCGGAAAAGTAGCACAACAAAAGCCTTGCATCATATGCGTTCCGCGTAAGAAGTTATAATCATCAAGTTCAGGAGAAATAAGAGGATCCGAAGCTGCCGATCCATCCGAGTTTGATCCATCGCTGAGTCGTAGTTTGGTTAAATCCACTGGTAAAGCAGCATTAAGAAAGTTGAAGGCAGCATGAACAAAGAGTTTTTCATAATGTAAATATGCTATAACTAATCAAACAGTTATTGCAAATGTCACTTGGAAACATTAAAAAAAAGGCTTAGTTGAAGAATTTCTCAAAGATCTATAACTATAAAACATTTTTCATCTGTTACTAAGTGAAATTTTTTATTAACTGTATATCCAACAATTAGAAAATTCTTCTGAAATAATTAATTCAACTGAAAACAAAAATATCTTTTTCACCAACATGGAGTGTGTCATACAAGTTAGTCTTTCTATTGGTTTAATCATGGCTGGTTCAATATGATCTTTAAGACCCATTGTTTAAAAAAATTCACCATGGCAATATATGGACAAATAAAGTCCATGAAAATGTATATACAGTAAATCAGAACTTATATATATATATGCCAAACATAAAATGTATTTATAATTAAACAAGCCAAAATGATAATTTTCCTAAAATTGTTCCCCTTGTTACAGAAATTATTTCTGCATAATATTTATGAATGATTATCTATACATTACTCTTATCTATGTTCTGTGTATTAATGTACATGTACTAAGAGAAATCCATTCTCAAAGAAATAAAAATGTTGAGGTAAAAATGAAAGTTATCATTCCCATGCCACATAGAGTATATAGTACCTTTTATCATTAACAGTAGGGTTTAAAATGAAGTACGGTATATATATATTGACAAATTAATAACCAAAAATTATTAATTAGCCATGCAAGTTTAATTAAAATGGTTCTAACAATTTACCTACATAAACTTAAGGTAATCAATCTACTCTTTCACAAGACATTACTGTGTTTAATTTAAATATTTTCTACAACTGATTTTATTAACAAACTTTTGTTCCTTTTGCATTATAAGAGATATAGCTTTTCAAAAAAGAGATTACCAGTTTCTTGTTTTTGTGGTAACATAGTTCAATAATCAATTCAAGGCAAAATTCTCAAAGATTTCACATTAACATCAAAAACATTTTAAAAATTTGCTTTATCAACTTACATGGAATTAATTTTTTTTTAGAACAAAACTAATAAGTGTAAGCAATTTGTCAACAAAGTTTACTATGATACATAATTTGAATGCTAAATGTTCTCATAAGAAACTATTCAAATGCTAAGGAAACAAAAGTTGTATTTTTTATTATTATAATAAACTTGCAGTAACCTAGTATTAAATTTGAATTTAATTGATCTATAAGAATTAGATGGGTCTAGATCTAGAGAGACACATTCCACAAGAATAACACATGTTGTAGGTTAGGGCAGGCACTGAACATGTCTTTCTCCTACCTTTATTTTTCCTTAGATCTGTGTATAATTGGCGACCTGATGGCCAAATAACCACATTAAAAATAGCAATACCACACATGTATAGAAGACCGACTTTTCAATGAAAAATCAGCTTCTAAAACAATGATAAATCCATAAACGTTTCTTAGCAAACTTGTTTCATTTTGTTATTCTTAAAACCCAAATCCACTTTCAAAAGCACAAACAATCACACTATGAGAATAAACTAGCAATTCATTTTGTTATGTGGTATCAAGGAAGTCAGATATCTGTCCCATTTAAAATAACATGAAGCTGGGGCTAAGTATTATGCCTAAAGTCTATCTGTTATATTCAAATTCAGGGGCAAATAACTCGTTAGAAACTGCTTCTCAATTAGTCAATAATTACAAATGGTAGGAAACAAGATAAACGCCACCTCCCTTTCTCTTTAATTTTCTCCAATAACTATCAACATCATTCAGATAACACATTTTTTCTTGCCTGTTCTGTAAGATTATTGTACTTCCTATTGTTGTTGATATTCCTATGTCAGTAAATGTCCAGCCAACAATCGTGCCAAAAATCACATTTAAGCTGCATTATGTCTAGCCAGGACTTCTAGTCAAATCAATGGACCGTTTTCATTGTATCTCGTTCCCTACCTTGTATCCTAAACCACTATATAATGTCTATTGTAATATATTTTTCTTTTTCTGCATCATAATTTGGATGAAAAGATTATAATTTTGTATACCTTTATGTTATAAAGAAATTGGAATTCATTAAAGATATGATTATTATACTTACATGATGTCAGTGTATGTCTGGTTTTAGCACTATTATGATACGCCTCAATTACTTCTAATATAAAAGCATCTTCGTTGTAAACCTTTGGATCATCTATAAAAGAGAGATTGTATTTTTAAACTAAATTTGATTATCTATAAAAGAGAAATTTATTTTTTAAACAGAATTTTAAACACAGTACATCTACTATATGCTCAACTGAAAATATAGTAGATGTACTGTGTTTAAAATTCTATTTAAAAAATAAATTTCTCTTTTATAGATAATCAAATTTAAACAGAAAAGAAGATAATATACTGCTGTGGTAAATCATTTTAGATATATTACTGCACAACATAGTTCATGAAATGAAAAAAAGTTAGAATATTATTATTTTATTTTAATTAAAGTCTGATCTCAAAGCCTCAAACTATTTCCTCAACTTTCAAATCTTAAAACGGGTCCCTAAACCTTCAAATCTTAAAAACTATTCCCTAAACCTTCAAATCTTAAAACGGTTCCCTCAACCTTCAAATCTTAAAGAATTAAATAATGGGCTATACTATAAACCGGAAAACACCATGTTATACTGACTACCGGAAAGCACTGGAAAAACACTAAATACCGGAAAACACCCATAATAGGTAACCTGGAGAAGGGCTATACTATAAACCGGAATATAACCCTAACCCAGGCACACAGAGGACCAGACTCCGGGTTACCTATTTAGGGTGTCATCCTCCGGGTTACCTATTTAGGGTATTTTCCGGTATTTAGTGTTTTTCCGATGTTTTCTGGTATTCAGTATAACATGGTGTTTTCCGGTAGTTTTCCGGTATATAGTATTGTCGTAAATAATGATTTAAATCATCATAAAGAAGCACTGGAAGATACATGTATACAGGAGATGAATAAAATATATGAACATTCAGTGGCATGCCCAATTTTTTCAGGAAATTTATATTAAGACATAAACAGGTAATTTGAAATCCATAGATTAGACATGCATTAGAAAGAAATTCTGTGAAAAATACTTTTAATTATTGCATCTGATCAAAGTATATAAAGGTGTGGAAAGACAATGTAATGGTGTATGATTTGTTATCGTCATTTTAAGACTAAGATGGTACTTTCGGAGATTATTTCTTTAGGACAACAATGCATCATTTGCCAATTTTCAATGATGATGTACGAGACTAGCTATTATTACAGGCTGGATGATCGAGACTAGTAACTCACTATAGGTTTATTTAATCGGCAGATGTTCATCCTTTTAATATGGAAAGTGTATGTGTATATATACATTGTGTATATATACATTGATGTATGTTTTGGTAGCCATTTTGTATGAATCCAGTTGATCTAGGAAAGGAAGGACAAGGGGGAGACAATCTCGAATATCTCAAAACAAAGCATTCATGCAAGATAAAGGCATCATTGCCAAGGCCAGATAAATCAGATAACTAAGTATGACATATAATAGTTTCCATATGAAGGGTAAAAACATGCTTACAATGTGACGAGTTATAGAAACATGATGTATAATTTAGGCCTATATATTTAAATATATATGTACATGTAACTGACAATTTGAAAGCTTTGTCACAAACAATACATGTACATGTAGATGTATGAAAGGGTATGAAAATATAATTAAAACAGAAAAATAGACTAACATTTATTGCGGACATTATAATCATACTCATCTCCAGAGTGGGTACGAACTGATAGCATTTAAATAGAGAAAAATAAAATTCTAATAGAAATAACATTTTTGGGGATTAATAATTATGTAATAACATAAAACAATAATAATACAATACTTTCTGTAATCATTTAGGTTTCTCTCTTTCTCTTACATGGAAATTATTTGGAACTCGGTGCTTCTATGCTTTCATAAATAACTTGCATAATATTCAACTGTTAGCCACATCAAAATTATTAGTAAGGTAGAAATACAACTTTCTATAAGAATATACTGATACAGATTACATTACTAAGTCTACTCACCTGGTTTTCGCTTGCTTTGAACCGATTTACGTGCAGCTTTAGGACTTTTGAGAGCATCTTCACGACATGCTAAAGATGGTCTCATGGGAGGAAAAGGCCTTAGGCAAGACATACTCCATGTACTATTAGATTTATAAATATTAACCGGAGTTTGAGATACTTTGGCAGTTTTAGCTGGCGTTAATGTGCTGATACTGGGTTGAGACTGGGATATCTGAAATGGATTGATTACATACATGTAATATATTTCTAGAGTACCTAATAATATATAATAAAAATCAAATTCAGTCTATTTAATCAAATATAAAATATTACGTTTTATATAAACTTAGCTATTGAGCATGTGATGCTTGATATTGATTTGGACTCAAGGTTCCCTTTTCTGATGGTTTATATTTATTTAACTTCAGATTAGATTTCCTAGATAAGTCTACATACTCTACAATACACACACAAAATTAAAAGTTTTGATCTTTGATGTGCTTGCTTTGTCTTCCATACAAATTGGAATATATGACTTCACTACTGCACTAGTAAACCCATATAGCTCTTTACCTGTAAACTTTGAGGTTTAGTAGAACCTGTATTTAAAGCCTGTTTTATCTGTTGCCGTAAAATTTCCACCCATGATGATACTTCCAATTTAGTACCACACGTAATAACCATTGGTTCTATCATATTCCCTGTTATAATATACATATACTATAATATTTACATCATACATATCTAGAATAGAGTGACCCACAGACTCAATTATCTCTACTATATAAACTGACCTGTTTTAACAGCATGTTGTCACGCGGATCAAAACTTCGTTTATGAGAAAAGTGCTCTCACGGACTCGCTCGTGCACTGTAAGCAGCAAACAGTCGCCCAAAATAGAAATTCACGTGACAATATTCATTCACTTATTTATCAATGAAGCCATGTAAAAAATTATTCTTTACTCGTTGGACTTTTAAAAATAAGTAGTTAAGAACTAGATTAAAATTTTGGCTAAAACTCAGTGATTTAATTTCTAAGTTAGTTGATTGTAACCAATGACGTATATATTGTAACGGTTCTCGGTTCAGAGTCAACTCGTGTAGTTTCGCCCTTTTTCTATCTTTTAGCTACACTTTCGTGGCAACATACTGACACTGCAAGACAGTGAAAGTTACTTTTTTTTAACCGCAATACTCTGTTGTTAGTGGGCGCTTTAGTTACTTTAGAAGTTACATTATTGCTAGCTCTAAATACGAAGAAAAATTTGAGACTGGAAATTAATTAAACGATATTATTTCCCCTAGGCTCGATTAACCAGACGTGTATGATTAAAATAAAATTACGGTACTGGGGCCTGTTTCACGAAATTTTAACTAAGATAAAATCCAAATTTTAGTAATTTGATTGGATAATATTAGACTGATTGTAGTGCTTAGCCAATCAAAATTGAAGTATCTACTAAAATTTGGATTTTATCTTTAGTTAAAATTTCGTGAAACAGGACCCTGGTCACAAGACTCGGATTCTAATCATTTTAGGGCGCTGCGAATTTGGTCCCCGGTTTTGTGTCAAATTTAATAGGAGGATGTGCCATTATGGCTATGCCATTCGTGTTTAGTATCCTTATGCATTTGCCATTTCTAACATGGTGGTTACAAAACGTTTCAGTTATTATAAATCCAGCAACAAATCATTTTTCTAAAACTGAAATATAACCAAAAAGACACGCATTGACTGTTTCATAATTATTAAAAATATGAAAACCCGACACGATGCGTAAATTGTGCGTCTTACTTTCGAGAACAATGGCTATAAAACAAAAATTTCCAGATTGTTACATAATACGACACAACCAACCATAAGTGGGAATTCAAACACAAAGGATATATTTAAACTTAAATTTCACTAACATTTCACTAAAAGATCCCTATTGTAGAACTCCCAACTTATTATGTAGTCACTGTCATGCCGGTTGTTTTTAATAACAGAATTTTCCAGTCATATAACAGATCAAAGATTTTTTCGTCGACGCATTTTCACGTATCAACTTCTATTTTTGGATTATCTGGCGCCACAAATAGCCCAATCATATCAAAAAGCATGCAGTTCCACCTTGAAATGGGTTCAATTGATTAACGGTTTATTCTATAATTTATAACACAGTTTAGAGGACAATGTGTAGGAGACGCATTTTTGACTTCTAAGTAGATTCTTATACGGAATTCCGGATGCAATGCTAGACATTTGGACCACTGCTGCCGAACCGATTTGAAAATGCTTAAGGCTTTTTTTCTTTGTGCATGTTGTGTGCTCCTCTGTTTTTGATGTGTATGATTTTTATATTTGTGATAATTATTTGAAGCAAAATAGGATTATCATAAAGGATATTTAACATCTACAATATGAGTATGGTAAGCACTCTCTACATACTGCGTTTGTAAACCACAAGATTCACCCCTTATTAGAAAGTTTTAACTATAGTCTATTGTATTACGTATGTCAATTGCTAAATGCTGCTCAAAGAAGATATAGTCTATTGCATGTAAACGTTAAAAAAAACAGCTCAAATTACAGACATCTCTCTCCCTCTCTCTAACTAAGGGTTGCGCACGCGTACAAATGTTAAATTCAATCGTTAATTGTACGTACGTAAAAAAACGAAGAAAGCCGACTGCGGAAATTAAGAATTCGTTTTCCAGAGCAAAATTTGAAACTTTGATGTTACCAAGAAACATAACTCTTTTTAATGAAAAAATCTACCGCTGTAACGCTACTTGGGCGATCAAATTTTCCATATAATTAGAAAGTCCCATTCAAATGGCCAAATCACACAAATATCCAACTTAGCAATAGTTTAATTGTTAATGAATGATGATTTTAATGTTAAGTCTTATCATACTTGTTAAAATAAGTCCCAAATATAGCTCGTTTATTGGATTTTTGTTATTTGCACGAACCACTCTATCTAGAACATTAAGTTTACATCACACACGTCTAGAACATTAAGTTTACATACATGTAACACATATCTAGAACAGTATGTTTACATCACATATATATATCTAAAACAGAATGTTTTCATCACACATATCCAGAACATATGTTTATATCACACATACACGTATCTAGGACATTATGTTCAGATTATGGAGAACAAATTGGAACAGATTCAAATATATCAATATGTTACATAATATTATTAATATATAAACAATCATATAATTTCATATCTTACACAGTATTTACTAACAAATTAAGTTATGAATAAAATTTTTAAGTACTGACCTGAGATTTCGAAACCATTAGGATATTTATCTCCTGATTCACATCTGTTTATAATTAGACCACTTAACGGTAATTTACCCTGAGAAATATTTGTAAAAATTAAAGTCGCTGATCATCATTTACATTTTTCAAACCTTTTTAATCCACACTAAAATATACTCAACTTCATTATTTAACATTTAATTATTAAAACAAAATTAATATAGGTAATAATTGAAACTGAGATGAAAGTAGATGGGATTTATGATAGTGTAGTGAACAGTTCATTGCTGTTTTAAAACCAATTGGCTGTAATCAACTATAATCAGCTGATTAAGATCCCTGCTTTGAAGTATCAAGATATCACCATTTGAAAATAAAGTGACCTTGTTTTCATTTATATAGGAAGGAGTATATTACAGGACGACTTCAAATTAATCATTTCCACGAAAATAACAAGTAATTCTTTCTTGAACATTTTTCATATATAAACAAAGATAAAAGTAGACTTACTTCATACTGATAACCACTAAGTCTTGGACTCATTGATAACATTACCAAGCAATGAGGAAATAAAACGAAAATTCTTTCAAACTTTTCTCCTGTATTATTGTGAAGTTTAACCTGGGATAAATGGATTACTTCACCTAGTTTTGTGATATCCTACAAAAAATAAAATATAACTTCTTAAATATTTATAATAATTTTAAAAGAAAATTTTATTGATAGAAACATATAAGAAAACTCAGATCAGATTTTTGTGTCATATTGACGAACAACATCATCTTTGTGTATTGGTTTTTCAGAGTAGCCTTCATGGGCAAATTAAATCAAAGGTGTATACACAATTTCTAGCAAGCTTATCCTCCTCCCTGTCAACGAACAATTTACTGCATCATAGTAAATTTGATTTTTCCTTCTAAATAACTGAATTAAATATATTATACTCACATCACCTTCCCAATCTTTGATACTACTTGCTACTATTTCTAATTCCATTTCTTTTAATTTTCTTATTTCCATACAAGAATTCTTTAGAAAATACAAATAATCAATATAAATAGCTGTGTGTGAAAAACTGCAAGTTAGAACTGACAATTCTGTTGTTACAGACCCAATTAGTTAATCTTTTTATAATCTAATGTGGATCTTACACTCCAAAAGCCCCAAATATATTTACTTTTTCATAAATTAAGGGGTAGAGTGGTCCAGAGGTCTAACGCATACATTTTGTATCATAAGGTCTGTCATTGAGTCAAGTGCTGTGGTTTTGATCCCAAGCTTGGATGTGACAAGGAATTGAGTCACCTGACCAACCTAGTGTGTTTCCTACCACTACTAAAGCGAATTAGCAAATAATAAAATGGTTAAATCAAAATCATTTCTGGCATCCATAATAGGAGTACTAATAAATGATTTATGAAAGAGTCATAATTATGATACTTACCGCTATATCTCTGTACACAGCTATAGCTCTTTGTGTATCACCTCTATCTGGATGACTTTCCTAAAAATAAACCACATTCTTTATGTTACAATGTTCAAATTGTTATTAAATATTTAGTTTAACTGAAGAACTCAAATGCAAGTGGTAATGCTTTGATTTGCAGCATTGGCTGTCAACTAAAAAACTCAAACAAACGCTAACATACATTGAGATAATAATGTACCACCATTTCTTAAATAAGGATTGGAATAGTGCCTGGATAATCCTTCAAACTAGAATAAAACCGTTTCTTAATTAAGGAGATTTTACTAATGCCTGGTACTAACAGTACAATGAGATGGAATGTGCCTATGAAATCCCAAAATAAATAGATGACAATTATTAATTAATTGCACATCTTTTTCAAAAGTATTGAGCAATCAAACTGATTATCTATACTTAGTCTGAGCAGAAAATGTTCACGATCGAACATCTAAACCAAGTTTAAACATTCTACCTCAATTAAAAGCAGAGTTGTTATGTTCTAAAGTCTTGACCAATCAAATTTCTTTTCGCTACTTGGCCTAAGCAGAGTCAAGGTATTGATATAATGAATTTAAACTATACCTTTCATCACTCTCACACAATTAGAATAAAAGTTATAGTGTTCCAAAATCTCAACAATCACATTGCTTATCTCTGGTTAGCCTTAGTAGAAAATGCGCATGACAAACTCTGTCAAGGCATTCACCTAATAAACACTGATACCAAGTTTGAACATTCTACCTCAGTTAGGAGAGATATTGGGTTACAAATTCTCAACCAATCAGATAGACATTTATACTTAGCTTAAGCAGAAAATGCTCATCATCAAACTTAGTCAAGATATTGATGTGATGAAACTATCCACAAAGTATCACACTACTCTCACGCAATTAGAATCAAAGTTGTTGAGCTCCATAGTCTCGACCAATCAAATTGCTTATTGCTCTGCTTACCTAAGCAGAAAATGCTCATTATCGAACTTAAGTCAAGGTATTGATATAATTAAACTATACACCAAGTTTCATCACTCTCACTAATAAGAACTAAGTTTATCATGTCCCAAAGCATCAACCAATCAAATGGCTTATCTCTGCTTAGCCTAAGCAGAAAGTGCTCGTCTTCGAACTCCATCAAGGTAGTCAACTAATAAATACCTACACCAAGTTTGAACAGTCTAGTTCAATTAGAAGTTGAGTTATTGTGTCTCCCAAAAGAGTATGACAGACAGACGGACGGACAGACCAATTTTAACAGTCCCCTACTTTCTTTAAAAGGCAGGGGACAACTAGATATAAATACCTCTATGTGTCTTTCAAGTTCTTTTAACAAACTTGGATATTTTTCTAATCTTGTAAATGCTTTTGAGAGATTTGTTGTTAAAGTCATTGAGCCTGGAACTGGTACACCCAAATTTTCCATATACCGACTTAATTCATCTCTGTAAAAAAAAAAAAATATTTTAAAAAATTATATTTGCCATCTCTTATATTGTAGATGAATACCAATCTTAATCCATTGGTGTGTATAAAACAACACTAGATGGTAGGTACTACACAATAATCTATGTTGAAATTTGTAAAGCAGTTCACACCATAGATGAAATACATTTTTTTAAACTAAACGCAGTGTCAGTCAGTAACCCAGGGGAAAAACACATAACACAGGGAGCACAATACAAATATCTGATGCAAAGGTATCGGTATAGCACTTTAAATAATTGGAGGGCAAAAAGAGAATATTAATTTGTCTGCGATATCACCTCGTTGGAAGCAGACATTAGATAAAGCTATTTCACACACAGATTATTGGTCAGGTTTATTTAGGGTACTGGATATCAAAAACCTCTTTATAACCAAATATCAAGACATATTTAAATGTATATATGAGTACATAACAGTTAATCTTTAGTACATTTCCAAAATGAAGTTATGCAGGAAATAGGTAGATGGTTTTATCAGCTGCAATAACAACACAGCTGTATATATAAACTTAATAAAGTTATAACACACAGGAAATAAAGAATGATAACCATTAAATAAACAAACTCTCCAAACAAGCTTTGCACAAATGACTACAGAAAAAAATGATTGGTTTGTTAGTCTCAAGTAGTGCTATGGAGAGACTAACCTACATTCCTTTACTTTCTAGCATTATGACTATATTATGGACTGTGTACAGAGGATTTTTGTTTTCATCCCAACTTAATGACCATGTGCAAGATAATATGAATATTGACCATGTCCTATACATGAGGCCGAGTATTGTAGCCAAAAGCTGTATTGTGATCTATTGCAATATTTCTACTCTCTATATTGTAAAATCTCAGTATATTCCAATATATGAAATTGTTCTATATCTTCTAGATAATCAACTTATATACATTTTTTGTCTAAAAGTATTCAGATATGAACACATTTGAATTAAAAACTGGACTTTATTTTATTCAATACTACAGTTTATTAACAAACAACAGTCAAATGATGACTGTCATCTGCAGGGACATTGTCTACAAAATTCAAAAGATTTTAACAATTTCATTCATAAAAATATAGCGATATACTGAGTTGTTTAAGAAATCGTATCATATTATACTGATTAGGCTAAATGTATTGCAATATTCTGATATACTGGTATATAATAACCCACCAACGTATTCATGTGTATGTTTTCCCTTATTATTATGATGAAATAAAAGTGAAATGAAATGGGGTTTAACGTCCTATTGTTCTGTTCAGACTGGACTGATGAAGACGACATATTATGTCATACAGTGTGCTACGAGGAACATTTTGCCCGGGCAGTGGTGCTACAGCCTACTATTATATCGAGTTAAATGCACACCGGGATTGAACATGGGACCTCCCGGTTAGCGAGCCATTGTCTTACTCATTGAGCCATCGTGGCTCAGTTATTATGATGACTGTCTTACCTGTGTCTTTGTAATACAGAAACAGCTAGTGGATGATTAGCACAATACTGTATATACAGATTTCTTAATTGTTCAGCATGAGTTAAAAATACACCTCCTATTCTTCTTTGAGATGGTGGTAATCTGTTTTTAAAAAATGTATATAAACAAATTAATGATATAGGTACATAAGAACAAAAAAAAACCCCAACATATTTCAAAAAATCATTTATTTGAAAACAATAAACTTAAAATGCCACACTCTTTGATTTGAGTAAAAAAAGAATAAAAACAAAGAAACAACAAACCTGCCTTAGCTTAGTCTGAGGTGACAAAAACTGCATAGAGCTTGCTTTTTAACTTGTTGAAATAATACACTTTATTTTGATCAAAATCAAAGAGTTTTTTGCTCCTTCAAAATTTTACAAAGTAAATAAAGGCATAGATTCACATGTGTGTCCGAATGGTTAACGCGTGCGTGTTTCTGTCTTAAAGTCTGTCACTAGTCAAGTGGTGTGATTTCGATTCCCTGCTTGTACATGACAAGGAGTAGGGTCGGCTGTCCAACCCCGAGGGTTTCTCCGGCTCCTCCAGTTTCGCCCCACTGCTAAAGACCCCTACGCGCAACCATATTAATGAAATAAAATTGAACCATATGTTAGTCCCGAAATAACCTAGTTTGTGTTGAGTGGACATTGAACGCATTTCTCTCTCTCTCATAGATTCATACAAACAGAAAATTAAACTGAAATTACACAAAAATATCTTTAGCATGTTTCTCCATATACTCATTATAATGATAATATCTTACTTTTCACATTCTTCTAATGAAGCAAGAAAGACAGGTTGGAATGCTGCAATATCTTCTAAGTTACCTATTAACTGACAAAATTCACCGACATTTAAACTGAAAAGGAATATAAAGTTTTCATACAAGAAGATAGCTATTAATAAATCAATAAATCAATCAATCACTAGTGCTACTAATAAACACCTAAACCAAGTGTGAACATTCTAGCTCAATTAAAAGGAGAGTTATTGTATTCCAAAGTCTTGACCAATCAAATTGCTTATCGCTCTGTTTACCCTGAGCAGAAAATGTTCATTATCGAACTTAGTCAAGGTATTGATGTAATGAAACTATACACCAAGTTTCATCACTTTCACTTAATTGGAACTAAAGTTATCGTGTCCCAAAGCATCTACCAATCAAATTGCTTATCGCTCTGTTTACCCTGAGCAGAAAATGTTCATCATCGATCTTAGTCAAGGAATTGATGTAATGAAACTATACACCAAGTTTCATCACTCTCACTTAATTAGAACTGAAGTTCTCATGTCCTAAAGCATCAGCTAATCAAATTGCTTATCTCTGCTTACCCTAAAGCATTGCCCTAATAAACACCTACACCAAGTTTAAACATTCTAACTCAATTAGAAGGAGAGTAATTGTGTCCTAAAATGTGTGATAGACAGACGGACAGAAAGACAGACAGACAGATGGAGGTCAATCCCATTTTAATAGTTCCCTGCTTTCTTCGAAAGGCGGGTGACAAAAATTCAAACATTGTCCAGCCTTAGTGAGAGCAAGATGAGCCTCACTTTAAAATTTGGTCAATTCTTGAAATCTATTCTAGAAATATGTCTCCTCATTTCTTGAATTAAACAAAATAATACAGTATACAAACCTGTTTAATTCCAATATATTAAATATTTGTTTAAAACAGTTCGAAAAAGAAACATATTTAAGAGTGATATTACCAGGGAAGGAGTTATATGTAATTATTATAATCAAATCTTCTAATTAAGACACTGTACCTGGTAATCTCATTAAATCCGAGCTCACGCTGTTGGTTGCCATTTTACCCAACTGGGTTAAAAATGTAATTTTGGCAACATAATTTGAAATCTAGATTTTCCTGGTGGCGACAGAATTTTTCTAACAAAAAGATTTATTTATATTTCATGTCATCTATCCATTCTGATTGACTAAGCATGCTCAATAAATTATTATTCAATCGGGTCTCAGGTTTCAAGTTTTTATTACCATTGAGTCACAGACTCAAGAATTGGGCTATCTATTGTCTATTTATTTAGGATTAGTGTTGATTAATCTTATAGTAATAAAACAATTAAAGATACAAAAGATTTCATTCATCTTCCAACAAATATGGCAGCTTATAATATTGATGGTTTCTAGATATAAGTAATAATGGTTAGCACGATGAACAATATTTATTCGCTTGTTTGTGATTATTGGAATCATTGGATCATTATATGCCTTACATTCTATCTTTGTTTTAGTTTATACATGTATATATCAGTGATGGGATTTGGCCCGTATATTCCAGACTTGTCCAAATCTTTTTTCCAAACGCCCAAAATTGTCCGACCAGGGATATGCCCAATCGGACATCAAGACATGGTGAATAATATTCAGAATTCCGAAATTAATATAGTTTACTGAGTGTATAACTACCACTCAACCAGATTATCGTCGATAATACGCTGGGTTTATTAGGTAATTAAGTGATCAACGTATTTATCGTGTTATACCGTCTATAGTATAAACCTACCTTGATTAACTACTTAATCTGCCTTGATTGACTGACTTAATCCTTTGTCGGACAATTCATCAATCTAATCTTAAACAGAAGTCATTGCTTTCCTTTTGTCGGACTATTCATCAATTCAATAAGAATGATTATAATTTTAATCCACCTGTTTACTTCGTGGTTTCTTAATTGTCGGGCATCTTAATCGCATTGATGTGAGCCGACAGAATCTATAATAAACTAATCATAGATGTCACATATCCTAAGAGTAAATAACACCCTAAATCAATGGACAGTCATTTTGTCTACGATATCTTTTACGTCTTTTAAGAATCCATATAGAAATTCTCATCCACAGTGGCACTTTCCCTTGATCTCGAGCGCGGCACGAATATTGCTTAACATAATATTATTAGGCAGTGCTTACTCTGAAGCCGTGTGATGCGAGTCACGTAGGCTATTAGTCTCTATTATCCAGAAAAATATTCTACGAATATGTTGAAGACTAGGAGTTTCTGGGTGACCGAGACTAGGACGCCGTACGCTGAAGTTGGAGTTGGTTGATGCTATACCGCACCCAGCAAAATAACAAAAAGGGGCGGAGCTACCAATAGCTATATGAGCAGAAATTCTAACGTATTTGCAGGTGGGAATTAAGAAGCATGTCAATCATTCTGCTGTGTTGCCTATGATGCCTGTCACTCTGTCGTGAATATGAAAGAGTGTTATTCGCTGAAGTTAGCGATGCCTGTTTACAAGTGATTTAACTATTTTGGAAGTTCTGCATTCATTTGCTGCCGTATAAATGAAGACACGTAATTCTAAAGGAATATTATGGTTGTGAATTTGATGCCGAAGCAGGATCGGCAAGCTTTCATTCAACATATTACGAAAATGCTTAATTTTGTACGACATTTACTGACATAAATTTGAATGCCGTATGGGAATTAAGTGTGAAAAATAGCGAGGTCACCAATTTCTATTACGTACGGGATTTGAATATTTTGTGGACATGTGATTTTTAATTGTGGTATGAATTATATACTGTACGGGAATTAAATATGAAAAATAGCGAGGTTCACCTATTTTTATTACGTACGGGATTTGAATATTTTGACATGTGACTTTTAATTGTGGTACGAATTCTTCTGTTTAAATAACGATAAGAGTTATGCCCCTTTATTTTCGGTAAAATGTCCGACAAGAAAAATTTTGAAATCCCATCACTGGTATATATATTCTTGCGGTTGGTGAAAGTAATTTATTATCAAATCATATCATGCCATGGAACATAGAGTGCTAGCTTAAAATAACAATAAATATACAAGAAGTGAACCTTTCTATCAAACAATACTTACATGCCAGTACTCTGCAGTGGAAGAAGATATGTTTTTAATACTTTGGTTATTTCAGCTACATGTGTTCTCTCAGTTTCTATAACATTCTTTAATACCTGTAGTAGAAAACACATGCAATACCATACTAACACAATCAAGATGAAATGATTTATGCTTTTAATCTCTCATCAGTCATCAACATATAGATGACTCATTTCTGGGACTATGTTTTTCTTTTTTTTTATTATTTGTGCAAAGTTAAATAAAGAATTTGCCGATGTTAGCAAGAATATTTTTCTAACTCTGTATCTTACTTAATTTTAAACAGACTTATCTTTGTCAAAGGTAGTGCAAAATCAATGCAAATATTTTTTTTGACACTTACAATTGATATTTTCTTTTATAATATTACAGATAAAGTCTCATTACAAAAAGCTCTTATTACAAAATGCTATTAAGAGCTAGAACTAAGAAGCAATCCAATTTTCCTATTCCCCATTCTACTGAATTACTAGATTTAATACTTGTAGGGATGGAATCAATACTGTATAGTACCTCTATACAATATATACCAATACACAAGAACAATTACTAGACAGAAGCAAAATATTCAATATAGAACAGCTGTACATTAACCAAATTTTTGTATAATAATATCAATATATTTGCATCTACTTAATTCATTATATGTTATGTAATTTAAAGTACTTACCACATTATGATATAGTTGCATGCTTTCCCTTTTTATTACACTCATATCAGAATTTCTATTACTTTTCATTCCTGTCCCATGGCCTAACTCTAAAGAAATAATCTTACATTAATCATTCTTTAATACAAAGTTTTCAAGTCATGAAAGATAAATTAAATCTAAAAAATAAATAGTCAATTTAATGTATGTGAACATCAGAGTTTGGCAGCGGATAGCTTTCTATTACAGCAACACACACAAAACCTAATGGCATGCATGTGTTGTAGAATGAATGGATGTTCCATTACATGTCATGCAATGGTATGCAACTATGAGGCTAACACATGTCAAAATTTCACATGGATTCTGTATCTTGTTATCAGCTGCCTACATCTAAAGTGCCAACTAGTACAGCCAGAGATTCCAACCAAGATGATATCAATTCAATAAATGTCATAATGCTGCACTTTTTGACAGACACATCTGTATTTACATTAAACAGATCCAGTCTCTTTGATAGATTACAGTAGAACCGCACTCAATGTACACAATAGCAATAAAAAAAACAATTATAGATATTAATAAGAAATTTTATAAAAAGTTTAATTTCTTATCTAAACAATTTAATAAAAGTCTTATCGACATGGTTACTGAAGTTTGGGAAGTTAAAATTTTGGAAAGATATACTCTATCTTCAAGATACACACACACACACAAATTTTGAAATAAAAGATACCAGTTATTAGACTAAGATCAAGAAGGAAAAAATGACAAAACCAACCCAAGATTACTAAATTATTTCAAATATAAAGCAGACAGATGAAAAAGATAAAAACAAAAATAAACATACAACTATATATAAACAAGATTTATCCATTAAGATTTACAGAAAAATGAACAAATAAAACTCTACAAAATTTACCTGATTTAAAATCTTTAACATAGTTGCTAGGAAACCAGCCTGTTTTTCCCTTCAAGGTACCTTCCCACCAGCCTCCATCTAGTGCTTGAGTCACTGTTATTATCTCCCCCTTCTCAAAACACAACTTTAAAAAAAAGGACAAGGAAAGATGGAATATTAATTAGGTGGAAAATTTATTCCATTATATCCTATGTTTGTACGAGTTGAGTTGATAAGCACACACAAAATGAATTACACCAGAACAATATCCTTATAACATTCACAGCTCCATATACTTGCCATATATGTACATGTATGAGTCAGTTCAGTAAACTACTGTAGAAAAGGTAATCTTAAAGAGGGGGAAATACATCCACTCATCCTAATCTTTTTGCTCCAACTGGGCTAATAAAAACAGCAGTATGCCATTCAGTGATCTATCAGGGACATAATGACTTGTTAGTGGTGCTTCTGCCTAATTTTAGTAAATTTCCAACAATCTAGGGTTCTTTAAAGTGCAAGCGAACGTGTGCACAGGACCTAAGCTTTTTATTGTCTCCTTGCCAGGCCCTCTCCCATCCTGCAAGACTGATAATGGAAAATTATGCTGAGAAATTTTGTCAGCCAACACTGTGATTGAACCAGTAACCTTCTAGTTGTTGAGTCAGCGCCTTACTCACTCAGCCACCATGCCCCCCCCCCCCACATCACTATATAGTTTTTTTTTTAGGGATTTAGACATGTTATATTTTCAATTCACTAATTCGCTTGGGGTCTTGAGGAAACCAGGGAATCCAGAGAAAACATGCTATCCCTTGTTATGATCAAACATGGGATTGAACCCATGACTTTATGACCTACAGTGCACACACTAGACCCCTCATCCACACAACATCCCCCTGTGATTTTGAAGAGATATGTCATTCTTTACAAAATTACACAACATTTATTTAATGAAAACTTGAAATAATGTCTTCTACACAATATTCTTTTACTAACATAAAAGAGAATTATATGTCAATATACCATTAATCCTTTAATAATCCTCCAACTTTAAATAAATAACAAATTTCTTAGTTAAGTTACTAGAGCATTAAATAGAGGATATTTGTCGTTTTAGAGTGAATAACATATTTTATTTCATCGAGAAGCAAGAAAATTTATATTTTCACGAATGCGTAGCATGAGTGAAAATATAAACGTTTTCTTGCTTAGAGATGAAATAAAATATGTTATTCACGACAAAACGACAAATGTTCTATTTATTTTATGATTTTACAATCATTTTAGGTAAAAACAACATGGACTTCTGCTAGCCAGTGGAATAACACTTTTATTTCACTGATAAAACGCGGTATTCCACTACTGATCATAAAATAAAACATTATACAGAATGTTTGCTCTAAATGAAGGATACATTAGTTTTTTATATTGCACTGTGTGTAACTAAATGCTTTGTCATAACTATTATGTTTTTTAGAAAACCAATAAAAGATATGGTTGAAGTCGTCCTGATTGCTTTATATGACTCATCAGATGATTGAAGGTTACACTGACATGCTACTATTATTTTACTAATCATAACATACATGTAGGCATACATTGTACACTGCAAATTGTGCCAGAGAGAGAAATGGGGTTAAACGTTAACTCAATGTAGGCTAGGCGTTTTCAGGACTACCATAATTATGGTACAACTTTATTTCAATAATTTGTTTGCACATAGTTTTTTTTAGCAGGAAATATGCGGTCCTGGTGAAAACTCATCAGGTTAGACAGGCAACCCTACTCCTTGTCACGTACAAGGATGGGATCAAAACCTTGCCATGACCCAATAACAGATCTTAATATGATCTAAAGCGCACATGTTTAACAGATGAGTGGAAAGACAAAACATGCAATAACTTAATAACCTTGAAAAACTAATATACATGTACATGTAGAACCTACTTGCCCTCTTTAGTTTCTGGTTTAATGTTTTTAAAAAAAAGTAAGATTTCATATAGAATGACAAAAATCTAAGCCTAGTACATCAAGCAGTTTGGAAAGCAAAATGGTGCCAAAACATAAAAAGTGGGTCAATGGGTTAATACAAGGTAAATTCTCTCTCTTATTAAGTTACCTAACACAATTCAGACACTGAAAAGGAAATGACTTTACAATTCCTGAATGTATTTAAAATATCTAAATTGCTAAATAATGGTTACTGTTTAGCTTTAACTGTTTCACAGGTCATAATTCTTTTTTTCAGGTATCAAAATTTTAAAATAACAATTAATCATCCGAATCTAAGACATTCCTTCAAAAAGAATTCGTCAGAGGGCTAAATTATATCTCAAATCTTTACACCCCTTAAAACATTTATAACTATATGGAGTATCATCTTTACAAGTAGAACATAACTTACTTTAAACACTCAATCAAGATTTTGACAGGGTATTTGGTGTAAGTCAAAACAAATCAAAGCTTAATACTGGTCTGGAAATTCCATCTGACCCTTGCAGAAACAAGATATGGGTGTACAGACCAAATCTACCACAGATTAAATCCTTCACACACAAGATAAAAATCTAATCTCAGTAATTCTCTTAATTCCACACACTTCTTGCTAAATATTATACCATTCATATATACACCAACCACACACTTCTTCAACCAGAAATGAACTTGTTTAAGGTCAGTGGAACTGCATGCAGCCGAGTCTAAGACTAGGAACCACTGGGTATGTAACTGATACTGGAATTATCAGCCAGGAGGGGTAATATTTATATTTAATCTATCTAGTAAAGGAGCCATTCTTTATCAGCACAAGACAGCTGTCTATAATGGAACATCTTCCAAATGTTTTATAATAATTCCTGTATCAGTAATCTTAAAATATATTCATACATATTCAGAGCCCAAAATGACCCACCTATGATTATTCAGATACTCTCAACCTAAGCAAGCATGAACATGGATGTTTAAATTCTGAGTTGTTACAAAAAGTTTTAGAATGCATTTTATCCAAAGTCAACGTTATGTGTTTGTGGATGGAATGAATTGTACATGTACTTGACATTCGACATTTTGTTACAGTAAAAATAGCATGAAAATGAGTCCTAAATACAGAATAGATAAATGTAAGACATATTTATGCTCAATTCTACCAAATTTTACCAATGTGAGTGTGAGTGGACTTATTGTAAAACATCAACGCTTAGACGGAAAATGGGAAAAAATATGAGAAAACTGAAGGAAAGATATTGTTTATTTTTACAGGCACTTGAGACTGTGGTGTTTTTTAATTCAGATCTTAATCATTATAGAACAATTTTATCCAAATAATTCAAACATACACTAAAGTTTTGTTGGGAATCTGAAGCCTTATCCAATGGTACTATTTTTCAGGAGTTTGGCTCCATCCAAATTATGCAGGTTTAAAACTTTTTGAGGAAAAAGAATATGTAATTTTCATGGATGTATTTTATATTGCCTTTTCTGTCTCCTCAACTATATATCTATAAGGAACAATAACAAAAACATAACATGTCCAAGTTGACTGCTATGTTTCGTCACTTTACTGTGCAAAGAGCTATACATGTATGTCATCATGGTGACAACAGATATGTAAGTTATGTCAATGTGAGCATGTCATCAGGTGACAACAAGTATGTAAGTTATGTCAATATGTACATGTATATAAATATAATCATCTGGTGAATAACAAAACACAAATTTTAATGAAAATAAAATGAAATAGGATTTTACGTCTTAATTTTTTTCACCCCTCCCACTCACTAGGAAAAATTTTGAAAGATGTTTGTAGTCCAAGTGGCATCATATACACTTATTTAGAGCTGTACAGTGCTGTAAATTTTATGCTTTAAGAATCTATAAAATGAACATCATGTATATCAACATAATCACATTTCTCGTCCACTTTAGGAATTGTGCTTAACCGCAAGGCTATACAGTTGTCCAAAGGGAAACCTGTACACTTCTACATATCACATTTCCCACCAATTTTAGGCTTTGCCCCCCCCCCCCACACACACTAGCCCTCACAAAGCAAACCATTAACATTGCTAGAAATTAATGTTTTATCTATAAGGTGATCACTAAGACCAATTGTTTTTTTGTCCCCCCCCCCACCAATTATTTTGGACTCCCTTCCCCCTAAAAAATCTCACACCAATTTTCGCACCCCCCCCCCCCCCCCCGTCGACTCACAAAGCAAACCATTAACACTAAGACCAATTTTGAACCTTGTTTTTTGCAACCCCCCCCCCCCCCCGAAATATTTTGGACCCCCTGCCCCCTAAAATATTTCACACCAATTTTCAGCATTGCACCATACGTGCAAAGTGAAAAAGAAGCCCATAGGGACATCTTATACGCTTATTTACTGCAAGAAATTAATGTTTTACTAATGATATCAGATTATCAACTTTACCCCCAATTTTAGGCTTTGCTCCTATATAGTGCCTGCTACCAACCTTTATACATACATACACTTAAATTTATCGTATGTTTATAGAATGGTTATTAAAAGGAACTGATTATTAAATTTATGTAGATGATAGATAGTAAATTGAACCAGTGGTTGCCAGGTAAGATACGCCCACATTTTGCAAGAGATGGATAGTGAACAAGCTAAACGAAAGGCGATTTTTCATACAATCAGGGGCCATAATCCAGGATGTTGTGATCTGAAATGCACGAATATCGAAAGGGACTGAGATATTTGGAATATAAAGATATATTTTACATTTCATCAAAATCGGATAAAAACTGTGACTTCCAGAGGGTCAACAACCTTGGTACTACATACTTTTACACTATTTGTGTACAAGCAGCGGCCATTTTTTCAGGAAATTTCGGTCCGATTTTCACGAAATTCAAATTCAACTGTCATTAGGGTGTAACAGTGATGCATTTTAATGTTTTTTAAAATCAGATAAAAATTGTATCCTCTAGAGGGCCCACAAGCTAAAAACATGATTTTTTGTACAATCACGGGTCATAATCCATGAAGTTACGGTTCGATACATGCCAATATCGAAAGGAAATGAGATCTTTGGAATATAAACTTTTATTTCATGTTTCGTCAAAATCGGATAAAAATTGTGACCTGTGTAGTGTCCACAAACAAATTGTGTACGG